TTGCTTCCCGAAGCTAACTCTACAATGGTTGGACCCTTGGGCTTCGAGGATTGTGGAATGGGTTTTCCGGGACCGTAATGGATCATGAGTCCAGGAGTTCCCTCCAGAGGTTGAGACTTTAGATTCCGGATGAACTCTTTCTGCTCTTTCCGAAGCTTCTCAATCTCCGCCTCGAAGTCCTTCTTCTGAGATTCGGCCAGCTTATGCATGTTCAAAGCGTGTTGATTCATTGCATCAATCTGAGTGCGGTACTCGGCAAGTTCTGAACGTGCTGCCTGCAGGTCAGCATTGGACTTCTCCGCAGACGATGTCCAGACACCTGCATTGTTGACCACATGAGTCAGTTCGGCACTCAGTTCCCTGATGCGATGATCCTGCGCTGTGACCTGCAGTTGAGCAGATTTCTGCTCACTCATCGCCTGGGCGGCCTGCTCGTTCAACAAAAGGTTTCTTCTGGAAATTTCTTCGCTGCTTGTTGTTCGACGCTTGCAAGTTGATCTCGAGCTTCACTCACAAGCTCCATGCGTTGACGTTCCATGACCTCAGAGTGGCGCACATTTGCCTCACTCTGCAATGCCTGCTGTTGAGCAGCCATAAGATGATTCGCCAGGCTCGGATCAATACCCTGTTGTACCACTGCCAAATTGGCGGTACGCTGATCAACAGTGTTAAAGTTGATGGTATTGAGTTGACTGATTTCAACACTTGAGTCTAAGACACCTGGCATGTTCCTGCGTGGATCTTGGCGGCATGGGTCAAACTCTTCATCCAAGTAACTCATATCACCTTCTGTAGTTGTAGCAGCGCCTGAGTGGATTACCATTTCCTCCGGTTGTGTAGGGTTCGCTAAGGCCAAGGCAGCCGAGGCGTTCCCGCCCGGGGCAGGGAGCGCGGGGGTAGAGGCCATTGCGAAAGCTACAGAGGAAGAGCGAAAAGTGCGAAACACAAAGGAAACCAGCGATCGCTTCGCGATACGGCTGATAACCTGTAGAAACAGGGTACAAACCACAACGTACCACAAAATAAGTACAGATACTACCCTGCAGCATGCACTGTTTCTTGAGCCACAGCATACAACAAGTAGAGGTGAAAACAGTGGTATCTACACTAGGACTGTGCAACAACATATATCATGACTATTGGAGGGCTACCCCCCTAATTGTCATAATCCATGGTTTAGCAAAATCCGGGGTTGACATTAGGGGATTTCCAGGGATCATCCACGGCCGCTCCACCGCTCCACCTCTGGATGCATGCCATAGATGGACGCCAGCAGAGCAGCCAGCGCAGTGCGAAGGGCGAAGGTGAATTTCATGCCCCAAATGGTGCGCAATCTGTCGGAGATGGGTGGGGGATACAACTGGCTGGTTTCTGGGGATGTGCGAATTATGGTTTTGAAAAGGGGAGAAAATTCAGAACATCATGGGAGTATAGGATCACTAACATTTCGATTTCTGGTTGGTGGTTGACCCACCCCTCTGAAAATACCCCTTACTTGTTCCCTAGGATGCTTTACGAAGCATTTTATAGAGAAAATTGGCTATAAAATGGTCCTCCGTCAGCCAGCATATAGACAGCAAGTGGGAACCCTCTATGAAATGACCTCTCCGTCATCTCTATGAAATGCTTCTCCGCAGACGACGCGTGTGCAAAGACACGCAGCGCGACATCGGGCAACAACCCAGTTATCCTCTATAAAATGCTGCTCCAATCTAGGTGTTGTCTTCGAAGCGCTGCTCCAATATGGCAAGACATATGTCTATAAAATGCCTTTTCCACAGGCGGTTGCTAACCCATCTGATTTGATTCATTGGCGCAGCGACGTGCAACTTGTTTGACTATAGTATGTATAGGCCGGTATATGCCGGCAATACCCGGTAAGACATAGAGGGATTACCATGAAATTTTACCTTGGGGGTGCAAAACAAAACACTTATAACATCCCCCTTTTAATTTCCCTTATTAAATCCCGCCAGCCGGGGGGCGGGAACCAATTTTTATAGGATCCCGTCCCCCGTATTTTTTTTTTACATGGCTTATAAAATTCTACGTTTTTTTAATAACGGGTGCCTCAAAAAACCATCATTTTATATACGACCCCTTTTTTCTGGGGCTATAAAATGACTAACAATGACTAACATATTTTGAAAAAGAATAAAAAAAACATTCCAATACCTTGAAAATGAACCACTGATTTTGTGGACATAATTTATGGATAGAAATTGCTTTTTTAACAATATCAAGTTATTCAACACATATGCATAATTTTGCAATTTCAATATGTTTCTAAAGCAACTTTTTCTTGTTTACCAGCTATAAAAGTGACATTGCTCATTTTGCATCATTTCCCCGTTGTCTTCCACCTTTCTTTCTCCCCTTTGGGTCTCCCCGTTGTCTTTCCCCATTGTGTCTCCCTGTTTTTGGGTCGAAGTCCTCGAGCCAGCCTTTCCGCCTTTCCCGTTGTGTCTCCCCGTTGTAACACCCCATATCACCCCATTGTGTCTTCCCCGTAGCGGTGATCCGAATGCAACGAGTCGGGCGCAAGGAATTGGAATGAAAGAATAAGTACAGGCCTGATGTCAAATACCAAACCTACTATACCATACCTATGTAAAAAACATCTAAAAAGTCTTGGTGTAAAATGATGCATATACAAATAAAAACAATTCATAACATATCTAAATTGTTCAAAAGTGTTCAAAATGCAAAGCACGTCAAAATTATTGAGACGTAGACAAATTGAGACGTTTCCCGGGAATAGCAGGCTGATCTGCCCGGATGAGTCTCTATGAAATGCTGTTTCCGACTGGAGATGCCCCCTACCCGTCCATCCGCGGATCTCCCTTAGTCGGAGACAGCATTTTATAGAGACGTTTCCCGGGAATAGCAGGCTGATCTGCCCGGATGAGTCTCTATGAAATGCTGTTTCCGACTGGAGATGCCCCCTACCCGTCCATCCGCGGATCTCCCTTAGTCGGAGACAGCATTTTATAGAGACGTTTCCCGGGAATAGCAGGCTGATCTGCCCGGATGAGTCTCTATGAAATGCTGTTTCCGACTGGAGATGCCCCCTACCCGTCCATCCGCGGATCTCCCTTAGTCGGAGACAGCATTTTATAGAGACGTTTCCCGGGAATAGCAGGCTGATCTGCCCGGATGAGTCTCTATGAAATGCTGTTTCCGACTGGAGATGCCCCCTACCCGTCCATCCGCGGATCTCCCTTAGTCGGAGACAGCATTTTATAGAGACGTTTCCCGGGAATAGCAGGCTGATCTGCCCGGATGAGTCTCTATGAAATGCTGTTTCCGACTGGAGATGCCCCCTACCCGTCCATCCGCGGATCTCCCTTAGTCGGAGACAGCATTTTATAGAGACGTTTCCCGGGAATAGCAGGCTGATCTGCCCGGATGAGTCTCTATGAAAGGCTGTTTCCGACTGGAGATGCCCCCTACCCGTCCATCCGCGGATCTCCCTTAGTCGGAGACAGCATTTTATAGAGACGTTTCCCGGAATAGCAGGCTGATCTGCCGGATGAGTCTCTATGAAATGCTGTTTCCGACTGGAGATGCCCCCTACCCGTCCATCCGCGGATCTCCCTTAGTCGGAGACAGCATTTTATAGAGACGTTTCCCGGAAATAGCACCCGGATGAGTCTCTATGAAATGCTGTTTCCGACTGGAGATGCCCCCTACCCGTCCATCCGCGGATCTCCCTTAGTCGGAGACAGCATTTTATAGAGACGTTTCCCGGAAATAGCAGGCTGAACTCCCCGGATGAGTCTCTGGAAATGCTGATCTCTTTGAAATTTCTTTGTCCTCACCCCAGGGACTTCAAGATTTGCCTGGCTTAAATTCTTAGCTGGCTATAGCCAGTGGGCACTAGCCCAGGGATTTAGATGGCTGGCCCAACGGTATAAAATTAAGGTTGCAAGGCGCACGCGTGTGTTCGACTCAGACCCTACAGTTGCAAGAATCAGTGCGCATCCATGTGCATCCTTCAAACTGCCACCTACGGAATACCAAGAAAGTAAAGCCTCTATAAAATGCCCTTTCCGTACAAGCCAATATATGCTCTGAAAGCATGTTAAAGATCAAGGTTGCCCCCAGTTTCCCTCTATAAAATGCACTTTCCTTTCACAACATGGTCCATAAATAACGGTAACATTTTGGAAAGAATCCCCCCTATAAAATGCATAATCTATCTGCAACGTCTTGTACCTCTCTATCATCTTTCATGCTCGGAAGGAAGCTCTCTATAAAATGATAAAATAGGGAGCTCTGGAGGGGCATTTTATAGACGACCAAGCCAGTTCTCTATAAAATGGGTCCCGGAACAGCATTTTATAGAGTCAAAGCATCGGCATTTTATAGAGGATCAATCTAGGGGTATCTCTGAAAAATATGAGTTCGTCAGTTGGGATGATGACATTCCCAAGATATGGAAAAATAAACACATGTTCCAAACCACCAACCAGATTTGGTGCCGGATACATCCCATACCCAGTGGACTCAGAGGGATCAAACACCAAGTAGTGGCTTTAAGGATGACAGACATGTTGGTTTATTACCACCACATGAAGCTGCTTGATATCTATCATAAACATCCATAAACCCTAGCTTTGTTAGTTCTGAATACTTGTACATCAAAATAAGCTATCTAGGAGGCACCACCTTGGATGAGATAAGGACACGAATGCATTTTTGATGGGACTTGTTGAGCCCGGACATTTCTAGTCACCACCTTGAATTGTTTTCTCCAATAACAGGCCGCCAAAACAGGGCTTTCACAAGTTTGCAGGATTTTGGTGGCAAACGCCAGGTTGTACGCGTGGCGAGCAAAAGGAAATTTCGGGTCCAAACTTGAGATTTCAAGGAATCTAGATAAATCATAGGGGTAGAAAATGGATGAAAATGGTAGAAGCAACCCAAAAATACCTCAACACTGGTGAAATAGCAGCCTGATCGGCTTGCTCTGGCTTGATTCTGGAAGAATTCGCCCATCACTTTGGACCGCGCCTGCCAAGCTTGTAGGAGGTCTTCTTATGAAAGTCCTCCATCATCTCAGCGCGGAAATCCTGAAATTGATACCTCAGGACGTCATCACTTCAGCCACGGTTGGATGATGGTTCGGTTTGCAGGATTCGAAAAAAGATTCTCAAAGAGTCTCAATCTGCGTAATCTGGCTGAACTACAAAATATTAAAAACATCTACAAAAAAATCATCAGACCAAACATCATCAACGAAATCCAAACTCGTTGATGTCGCAACAAAAATTTGATCCGAACATCATCTTACTGTTGTGTGTTGCATTGTGTGGGCGAGAATGCTCTATGCCATCTTCTTCGGCTCGAGACCAGTGTCTTTGCAATGTTACCCGGCCTAGTAATGACTAACATAGCTATTGAACATGGCCATTTAGTTCGTTGATTTACCCATTAAAAAATGGTGATTTTCATTGATTTTCCATAGTTATGTGGCTGTTTACCGGAGGGTATGTTGTGCAAAGAAGCTGCAAGCTGTGAGATTCCTACCGTCTGGGTCATTCCTATCCTCCTTGGGTGCAAAACCCCGCTTTTTTTAAAGAATTTCTGTGGAACCACGTCCGTTTCGAAAAATGGGGTGCTGTAAATAACTTCCCAATTTCTGTTGTTGTTGTTGTTGTTGTTGTTCTTGTTGTTGTGGCTGCTGCTGTTGTTGTTCTGATTCCATCCCCCGTCTTCTGCTGTTTAAATCTATCTGTGCAAATGGTGGAAATAATGTGGAATAATGTTGAATCCACTTGCCCTAACCGCTCCAACCAAAGCTTGAACAGAGACTTTGAATTGCACAATGGTCCCCCAACAAGAGAATATCCTCAGCAGATTCCCGAATGGATCTAGAAAACATCACCTGTAGCTAAAACATGAAAATCCTGGAAAATCCAACCTAACTAACTGCTGGGAACGGGATTAAAAATCAAGAAATTCAGCAGATTCAGCAAATCTGGAACCCAGCGCCAAAGTCGGCTAAAGTCAGAAACTCCATTAGAACATCCATGAATTTTGCATTAGAAAATCCATGAATAATGCCCAAATTCAGGTTTTGGCCGTTCATATGCTGCTGAGATACTTGGACTCATGGGTTTTCATTTTGCTCACCGCTCCCAGCTGCATGGAAGCCGTCACCTCCTTGGCAAAGGTGGGACATGTGGGGAGTTTTTGGGTCCTAAAATGGAGGTACGTTAGTACCATATTTTGGGCCATATTTTCTGGGGATATTCCCTTACATAGGCTTAAAAAATAGGCCAAAAAATATATGGTAGGTACAGCTTGATTTTCCCAGCAAAGTTGGATTGGATGCAGGCTATCCTGAGCTGCTGCGCGCATGTCTAAAATAGGGTTTCTACACAAACCGCTTCGCGAATTTCTGGGAGAAAGTATGACCAGCTAGTATCAATTTTGAGGGTACCATATTTTCAAACAACCCCATGTTGGGGTAGTTTAATTTCAGCAGGTGGCAGGAGCTCTGCTTCTCTTATGCCCCGCATCAAAACGTCTCAAATTTCCTGCTGGAACTCTTTTCTGCACTTGTGTTCATGCGCATGTTCCTTTCGAAGATCCATGCTTGCCCGGATGTTTAAATATTTTTAACACATTCACCCACGATTCTTTTGGCATAACAACCCCTCCATGTTTGATGACGCCAGAGGGTGCCCTGGCCATCATGGAGCCTGCCAAGAGACATCCAGCGCGGGAAGGGTGGTGTGATTGCGATGCCATGCAGTGTCCATGGTGGCAGGGCTACGCCGGCTACGCCGGCTACACGGGCGGTGCAACGGTGCAACCGGCGGCTTTTGATACCGCGGAGAGCCCGAAAATTGGGAAACCTCTCGTTTTGGCTTTTGGTTATCACCGGCATGTGTGGCTTTTGGCCATGTTTTCACAATCGAGGTCGTTCAAGAATCGTTTGCAGGGAAGCCATGGTATTTTGGTTTGAAAAAACATGGATATCTGTCCAGACAAACATCCGTCGGCGCAGCGGATGTATATGAATCCAATCAAGAAATGCAGCAGCTCATGACACCCCTGCAAACTGGCAGGGAAACTCGGACTTGTTGCGATTCCATCTGAGTTTTCCAAGGGGTCAATCATATCCCTGGGGATCCTATCTTCTCCCTTTTGGATGGTATTTGAGGGGCAATACCATGGTGTTTTCCCGAATCATAGTCGGAATGGGTAAGGTCACTATGAGTATCCCCCATTGCCAGCAATATTCCATGAATATCCCCATCTATCCCCATCCACGTGATGCAGAAACTTAACTATTGCCAAACCATGTGTAGTCGGTATTACCCTCTGGTAAACTATATAGCTATGGAAAATCACCCTTTTTTAATAGGTAAATCAACTATAAATGGGCCATTTTCAATAGCTACGTTAAATTACCAGAGGGTAGCAACTTCAACCATAAAAATCTCCCACATCTTGAGGATCCCTTAGAGGCGCTGAAAATAACCAACGTCCAGGAGTGAACGGTATCATTAAAAATTGGCTCAAGTTTCTATTGATAAAGACAGCAAGTTCCAGATGAATTACAGGGAGCCTCAGTAAATAGGTTACAGGTAGGTAATGAGTTCTTCTGATCTGAATCTTTCAAGAAGGTTGCCTGAAGACGTGCACATGGGCCCCGAAAGTACCGATAAGAATAGGTCAAAGTAATAAAATTAATGGGTGAAATCCCAATTTTTTATGTCGACTTGGAGGGTGTAGCTATGTCTAGCAATGTCTTTCAGTTCTATCCCCTGGAACTGGCATCCCATCAAGGACACCTCCAACAATCCCCAGCAATGCTGGACCGTCAGGGCCTATGGCTAGCGCCATTTCCACTCTGGCACCATGTCTTGTGGCTTAAGTGTCACTTTGAGTGGGTTACCATGGGTTGCCCATGTCGTTTTTTCAATCCAACCCCAAAACAGTCTAACAATCCAAGTGTATGGTTATTCCAGTGTAAGTCTGTCACATGAACTGATCTGTCCTCACTTTTTTGTTACCATGTTGCAGCATTGATTCTTTCAATCTGGAATCCCACGTTTCCAGATGATCACTGAGTTCAGACTTGGCATGTGGAGTAACAATGAGGTGACCTCGGAAGTCGCAAATTCTTATCCCTCTGGTAATGAAACGTGGTTTGCTGGAAAGTCACCCCAGCTTAGTTCGATGATTTTCCCATTCAACATCATTTATCGGGGATTGTTCCCATATGTTCCGTATGATTTTCCCATGTTTTTCCCATTAAAAAAATGATTGCCAGAGGGTATAACCATGGCAGCTAGATCTCGAACAATTGACAGCTTGACCGTTTCGAATGGCAGCCAGGGGTGGGGCTCTGCTGGCAAAGTTCATTGCAACGGATGCGGCATAGTGCTGGTGATTATTTCTACTCTTGCTATACTACTGTCAATGTGATGATGATGATGATGATTATGATGTTTTGTTGGTGTTGGCGTTGGTGCTGTTGCTGTTGCTGTTGCTGTTGTTGCTGCAGCATATCACCCTATACCATATTATGATATATTATATTATTGTTATTTCTAATCGCTGTATATGATATGATTATTTTGTTTATATCAATTACTGTATTTGCATCCAATGGCATCACACATGATATCATACATCTCTGTATAACCCTGCTCAATTGGCCTGCGGCTCAGACGGGGGACTAGCTTGGAATCCTGGAAGTAAGAAATGCAATACAAACGACAGCCATTTTTCAGGTTGAAACCTATCATCAGAAAAATCTATAATATACTGGTTGGTGGTTTCAACCCCTCTGAAAAATATTAGTCAGTTGGGATGATTATTCCCAACATATGGAAAATAAAAAATGATTGAAACCACCAACCAGTTTTAGCAAATGTTTGAAGGACGTTTCCCACTAATCGTCACTAGTCCATCCGCACCCTGACGAACCCCCATCCGGATCTATCAGCCCATGAATGCGCTTGAAACTGCCTCCAAAACCCGCCGCTTTTTAAGCCTCTTGTGAAACGATGGCGTGAAAAACTATGGTGAAACATCCTCTGCGATCTGAAAGCTAAGATATTTAACACTGCTTAGTGGTTTCAATTTTCAACCCCTCTGAAAAATAGGAAAGTCAGTTGGGATGATTATTCCCAACATATGGAACAATAACAAATGTTTGAAACATTTTGAAACCACCAATCAGAACATGTTTTAACGATCGAAGGAGCTGATCTCATGCTGAAAAAAAGCCAGGAAAAGTCGACGGTTGGTTCAGTCGATTGGGACCACCCCAGTCATCGGGTTGAACACGGATTTCGTTGAAACGACATTATTCAAGACATAGTCATAATACGATTTATCGTGATTTATCTATTCACGAGGCAAAATACTGATAGTTCCTATCACAGTTTCAAATTTCGGATTCATGATGCTATTGATGTGTTATCAATAGTTATTATGTAATGTTATGTATACCTCACATTACCTCACCATTTTTGCTGACAACTTCGATTTTCTCTGCGCATGAAACCGTTTAACGAAGCCCAGGTGAGGCTCACTTTTTCTTCTTCCCCAAGGGTGCTGTAGCTGTAAGACTCGGCCTGGCACCGGGCACGAGGTGATCGATATCCTGGCTATGTGAGGATGGCTACCCTCTGGTTATGTCAAAATAGCTCTTGAAAATGGCCATAGAAATAGTGAGTTTTCCCATCAAAAATTGTGATTTTCCATAGTTATGTTAAATTACCAGAGGGTATGTGAGGATTGGGGTTCCCTTTTTGCAGGGAATCTGGATCTGATTTGTTTGATTAATGTTGATAGGAATGAAACACACACATAGATCAATAAAACCAACACAAATGAGCTACCCTCTGGTTATTTAACATATCTATACAGAAGATTGCCCATTTATAGATTATAAAAATGATGATTACCTATCAACACATCGTAAAATCGGAAAGGAGGGGGCCCTTGAGAAAGGGCCCACAGATTGGCTATCGGAAGTTGGATTGTCCCCGCACGTTGGATGAATGGGATAAATTGATAATTGATATCCATTAAATTCCTCATGAATATCGATCATATCCCATTCATCCAAGTTTTTTTGATTTCACTATATACTCAAAAGGGTGGTTTAATGTGGTTTAAAGGGATAATGGAGACATAATGGCATGGCATATACGCATACAGAAGCAGTTAAGTTATGTATCTACATTATTCTACATGTATCCAACTTGGGTACGTCTGCAGATGGGGTATGCATCCAAATGTTCATTTCAATACAAATGACGATTCACCGTACCCTACCTTCAGGCAAACCAATATACAACACAAATCTCAAGGCGATGAACTGCACAATCTACCCACAGGTGCAGCAAAGTAATACGCGGTGATTGAACTTCCACATTGATATGAAAGCCCGTCCATACACAGCTTACGCCTTCAAAATCGCATGATTTGATTGATTCTTCACCACGTCAACTCCAAAGCTAGGATTAAAAAAATCGTGAATTTCTACCGTAAGTAGATCCCCTAAAGACACAATCAGATCCCCATTGATCCACTTGATGGATCCTATGGGAAAAGCTGCTACTTTTCTATAAGGCTTTGTCTCGTTGCTTCCCCATCATACTGCTATCACCATCCTTCACTGTCCTTTGATGGGATGGCCACATGTGAACCATGGTACCCTGCCTGTACCGAAAGAAGCTCTTGTTTTTGTACCACATCCTCAAGTTGCCATTCGATTCAACCACAACAATGTCCACCTTCAAAAAAGATAGACAGGCCGGTCTGATCGAAGATTTATCATCATTCAATATAGAAAATGTTCATTGACCTATTCGTTGTGAAGGGGGGGTTAATCCCCGGCAAGTATCAACCGTTATAGTTGTGGGCCAGGATATCCATAACAATGGTTTGATAATAGGTAACTTGTCCTACAACAAACGCAACTAGGGCCTACGGTAGTAACATATTATTAGTGAGGTTTATATATCAACGTATAACGGGGGGGCACCACCTTGTACTACAAATATGCCCAGAATCAAACAGAAAACATAAATTGCATCAAAACTCTACACTACACTTTCCAAGAGAAAACCCTGGCAAGCACGGCCAACGCCTCCACGTTCCCCCGCAGGCCCAAGCATCTTTGGGTAATGTTTCACGTACTGCACATCCTTGGCTTTGCTCAAAAAGCCGCCCCTCTTCGCACCCAAAACGTCCCAAAACTATCCCTCATGGACTCTCCAAATGGTGGCCATTTTAACTGAGATAATGTTTCCCCGGTTTCCCTGTATAAGTTTCTACCGTGTCTAACTTGTCTATCTCTTTTTGGGTTGCGGGGGGAAAAAACAAACATGATCCATCCCCAAAAAAACACAAATCATCCATCAGCCCAGGGATCTTTGGCGTATTTGCGCTTGATGTGGCTGGGCACTCGGTTGACAACCAGCTTTTCGTCCAGTCCGGACATGTATTCCTGGCTGTCTTTCATGGTGTCATAGATTTCCTTCATACCTTAGTGACCACGGGTCAAAATGTTCAAAGGGATCTACATGGGGATAAAACCCGGTAATCTTATGGGCAGGTACGTATATGATATAATCATCTATAATCTAGATAAAGTTATAACTTATAGTGTGGATACTGTTGTATATATAAACTAAGTAACATTGAATGAATGCGTTTCAGGGAGTATCTTCACTGGAAACCATATATTCTACCTTCAAATATTGGGGTAAACCTGCAAGCCACTCTTAAAATTACAATTGTGATGACTGCAGTGTCAATCATACACTTGGGCCGTCAATCCTAGTATTGATTGTCATGAGAAAAGCCGATGATGATGATGATGATGATGACGACGACGACGACGATGATGATGATGCTGCTGCTGCTGGTGGTATAGACATCAACAAGCGTATTTCGGGGTGTGAAGTCCCTTGTCAATAGATTGAAGTACAGACAAATCTGCAAAAAAATGTGGCTTTGCCTCAAGCCAGATCAGCGGTTCCAGCTGAGATTTTCCTTACTTTTTTTTTGGAGGTATATATTATAGTGTTGAATTACTGTGTACCTAAGAGATCCTAAGGTGGAGGTATATATATATATACAATTATATACTTTAGCAGTGCAGCATCTATATTCAGGCCATATTTGGAGTGATGTTGCCTGAAATAACTGGAATTCAGACCTTCGTTGCCTAGGCATCGCCCTAGGGCAGCCACATTTCAACGTCCTAAAATCATCTAAAATCCCAGAGTCGGTTGATGGCGTCCAATTTCGATTGGAAATCCCAGTCTTTGGAGCGTTCCAACACCTTAGCTTAGCACATCGTCCGTTGGAGATCGGACGGTGTACCCCCAATGAGAACCCCTTCAACAATGTTGGGGCCTTAAGAAGCCTACAATATAGGTCATATTATAACTATTATATATAGGCTCAATTGTATATGTAGTAATACCTTGAGAATATCTCCCCTTGACAATAAGTTATGTATATATATATATATTATATTATATTCATAACCTCGATGTCTATAACTTACTGTGTATGATAATATTTTTGATATATTTTGATAATGCCGTTACACAACGGCCACCTTTCGTTGCCTCCGACTAACTCCCCTACAGTAAACCACAAGTAGAATGTTGTTGTTGGTTAAATCCAAAACCAAACTCTGAGCATCTGAATGCATCTGAAAATGGAGGATACCCAGAAAAATCAGAAAATCATATGAATTTGCAATGTGATCATGAAAAAAAAACAGGATAATCTATGATAACCCATGCTAATCCAAGGTATTTAAGGGTCCCTAAACGTTCAAACAAACCACCAAATTTGAAGTCACCTTTCCTGACCCTTTAAGTGCCAGCGACCCGAATGGAGCGCACCACATGCGCACGGTACTTGGGATCCTTCGGCAGGGTGTGCGCCACCCGCTGCAGTGTTGGATAGCGCATCTTGGCCAACTGCGTGGCAAGCTCTGGCTCTGGCTGGCCAAACCTTGGAGATTCTTAGGTGATGGGACTGTTAGTCCAGAAAAGATGCAGAAAAAGTGACGGTCAACATAGCAGTTTTTGTAGGTACTAATAGGAACATAAGCATAACATGGATAGATAACTTTCCCCTGATGGAATATAACCATTACTATCTTGGAGTAGGATGGGGCTTTTCAAACTTAACTTGGAGCTTGCAATACCCACGGAATTGGATCCAATGAAGTTTAATTATTTAAATATGTTTAATGAAGTCCCAAATTGTATCCGATGTTCTTGCTTCCATGAGTTGGGGGCACACCCCATTCTAGGACCGCTGACACATCTGACACAACAAAAGGCATCTACCTCTCTTATAGGCCTTTTCTACCCCATTCTAGGAACCCCCAAACAAGATCAGTCAATCTTATAGTGACAACCCGCTAAACACAAGAACTTGCAACCACAAAATGCCCAGCGAAAACTCAGATCAGCCCCTTCTGGGTCGAGAAGCTTGGTGCCACCAGCCACCCCACGAGGCACCGCCGATTCAAATCCTGCACTTGGTGCAACCCGTGCGGAGGACACGGGGTGACTTTTCAAATTAGAATATAAACGCACATGACACGGTTGTGTCATGTGACTTTTATGAGGTTCTAGATGTTCTAGTGCTCAAGATGTGTTCAAGCACGGAAAACATCAGTGAACTTGCAGGGCTTCATTTATGTTCATCTACGAGTTCCTTTATCGTGTTGAGTGGTGATTTTTTTCCGGTTCCATATCAACATTTGTCCGCGAGAACTGACTTCTCGCAATTCTTTCTTGGCCCATGCCAGGCCAACGTTTATACAAGTATGATTTCCATATCTTCCATTCACGCATGGCTTTTTCCAAAAATATGAAACTATCTTGAATGGAAATAGTTATTTCTAAACAATCTTGAACTACATTAATAGATATTTAATAGACATTCCATAGGTTTTCCCATGGTTTTCCCATAGATGTTCCAAACCACCAACTACCTTCTAAGAAACTACGGTTCTCTCCATCGTTTTTTTCCACAAAAAAAAAAACTTTCTCAGCTCAAAGGCCACCGTCCCCCGGTCCCAAGTGGTTTCGCCAGGGATGCCTTACGCCCTCCAGTTGATTCTCTGGAGGATTTTCCTGGCCAAGATTTCACAAAAAAAAACAAACAATTTTTCATGGGGAAACATGCCTTTCTCATGGTTTAATTCATTCATGGTTTGTTAAACAGGCCCGTTTCTTGATGTGTCATTTTCTGTAAAAGTGGATGTATATATAAAAATAGTAATATCATAATATATATATATGTGTGTGTCTTATGATTATGATATTTTTATATATATATGTATATATTTATTTATTTATTTATGTGTGTGGGTACGTGTCTTATGATTATGCTATATAATATATATATATATATGTGTAAAATACCCCGAAACACTACCAGGCATTAAGAGATCAGAAATGGCAATGGCCAACTGACAGTTTGGGCAATTGGCAGAGTGTGACTCCCCAAAAACCCCTTGTAAGAGAGATACCAAGAGTCCCAATTACGCCAAAAACCATCCAAGCGTTCTGGGGTATTCAATTGGTTTTCCAAATTCAACCACGCAATTTTAGCAGCCTGAATGTTGATGGTAAATCCATCCCAAACCCATCCAACCAGCTCCCGGAACCCAACATTGGGCCAGGGAGCGGCCCGTTTCTCCGGCAGTGCGGCACGCAGTTGATCCACATTCGCATTCTCGTTCTCCACTATCACTTGAAGCACCTGATCCACTCCTGGAGCAGCTGGTAGTACCCTCCGGTAATTTAACATAGCTATTGAAAATTGCCATTTATAGTGAGTTTTCCCATAAAAAATGGTGATTTTCCGTAGTTATGTTAGTTTACCAGAGGGTAAGGTATAGGTTCATCATCCCAAAAAGCGGAACTCTGAACATCACAACTTGGTTGGCCTGCGACATCTGACGATTTCGAGTCCTACGCATGTTGGTTGATGGTTCCAGACCCCAACTTCATTGGCTATGCAGTATACTATACATGGTTATACCAATCTATGCCTCAGACTCAGACGTGAAAACAATTAGATAAATCACTTAAAGAACAACATTCGGCCATGGCTCAAGAAAACAAAACATAAACAAACGAATGCGATGTGTTTCCGGCCAAATCTGGTTTCAACCATTATTGATCAACATTTACTATACAGTGTTTGAGTGTGTTTTTTTTTTAAATATATATATACATATATATATGTATCTATCTAGCTATCTATCTATCTGTCTGTGTGTCTGTCTGTGTGTCTATCTGTCTATTTGTGATACGTAAGTTCTCATGGGTGTTTTGGATGTCAGGTGGTGAAATCAGTTGACATCCACTGTTGCCCAAATCTACATGTTGACGATGTCAAATCTCGATGTTTCATGGTGAAAACACATCTCAAAACAAAATACCAACATAATTACTGTATATCTATAGCTATCTTCAAACATCTTCAACTGAAATACCATTAAATCATATATAATAACATATAATAACACTATGCCTAACAATATATTATAACATATTATAACCTTCCTTAATATCAGCAACTTCTCAACCCCCCCCCGCCCCTTAAAGGGAGCCCCACCTTGGAGTTTCTGCTCCAGCCGTTCGCGCGCGTCGAAGTGCCAGCGCACGTCCCCGCGGAAGGCCGCCAGCGGCTCCAGCGTCTCCGGAGGCAGAGCGGCCTGGCGCCGGAGCTTCACTAATTCCTGGGAGCCGCAAGGGCGTAGCTGGGTGGTTTGTAATGATCATGAAAACAAATATATATATATAGATATATGATATATATAGATAATTTATTATTATTTATATTAAATATACATATTCATAGAATGGTAATATGTGGTAATGGTATAGATATGGGATGTATAAAAACTAAATTATTCATACATCTCATATATACTATACTAGTGGTTAGCTCTGTGATGACTAGTCCCCAAAATGGGATGATCAAACAAAATTCATGGTTCAATGGCTGAAAGGTCAATTATGGTAGACATGAAACATAACTCATGAGCAATATATATATATAATAAATAGTTTTATATAGTTAGTAGGTTATATATATATAAATATACAATACAATAGGGGAGAGAGATAGATATACATATATATATACATATGTATACAAATAAAGGTTGAACAATTATACGTATATTTATAGCTATATATATATAACTAGTAGTTTTCTGTTGTGGTTATAACTGCATACATATGTAAATATAACACTATGAATAATACAAATAATAATGCCAAATTTCATGGGATTATATATTTAATATTGCCATGATACGGTAGACGGGCCAGTGAAATTTACAGTGTTTCATAATTACCCATAATACTTATACCCATAGTTTGTTATACCCATCATATAGTTATACCCATAGTTAGTAAATGATGAATAGTTATACCAAGAGTTACCTGGGGATTTCGCTGGAAAATCCCACCGTATTCCCACCGTTCAAAGCCAGTCTCCGGATGCTGATCCAACAGGCGCGGCATCACGCGCTCATCCAGCTGATTCCGCACGCAGCGCTCGTGCAGCAGGCGTTCCATGGCGCTCCTGGCCCCGTCTTTCCCATGGGGATGTCACCAACATCTCGGGGAAACAATGGGAGAAGTTTCCCATGGGATTCCTGGATAAATCAACCAAGCTAACATAAATCTGGGTAAATTATAGTAATTCATTAACCTGAAATAAGGCGGCATATGGCGGCATATTGGGTAATTGCCCGAATTCTAAGCATGATTCCAGGGTTCGGTCACAGTGAGGTCACTAATTCACCCAGATTTAGCTAGGTGACTTGAAAGCAATTTATTATTATAGTTGACCTAAAGTTGCAGCTAAGTTGGTGACCCATGAGGAAATTATGGCTGCCAAGTAAGACTGTAGGGGGATCCGAAAAGTAGGGCAACATCGGAAACATCGCGTTTAAATAACTTGGTTCCACCAATTGATAAACCGGGGGTGACATTGCCCATTCTCATACCCATTGGAATATTATAACAACCTTAAACATCCACTCTTATACACTGAAAGTTTGATATTCATGTTATAGCAACCCCACACAGTGGAACAGTGACCCAGGATGTTATAAGATGTTATAAGGTGTGCTTCATTTCCCCAGCTTTCCCACTTTTATATCTATGGGCTGCTATATGCCCGTTATAAAGTTATGATCTCCCAATTCGCAAACGCAGGACGTGTCTTTAGTCCTGGGCAAGTACCAACACAATGGACAATCGAATTTTCAGGAGGCTAACATGGAGGTACTGCACCACAATCTACCATATTTCTGGCCACATTTTCTGGGGATATTTCCTGAAATTTATCCCTTACATTACAGATGGTAGGTACATCCAATAAATCGGTTCCTGACATGGCCATTGCTCAAAAACTGTCTCTCATCACTGACTGACAGGGGTCCCCTCAGTGCAGTACAAGCCAAAGTTTGAAACATCTTGAAACCAGTTAGATCCAGTTCGTATGGCCCTATCCAAATACCAACCAGGGGTCAACTAGAGATTGCTCAAGGTGTTGTCTCTAGAGAAACTGGCCCCCCAACTCCTCTTCAGCATGTAGGGATTCTCGTAATCTGCCAATTCCTCGGAGGCTTGGCTTCATCCTGCCTGGATTACAGGCCCTTGACACTGGATCCATGTGCAACACAAGTTGGCATTTCAATCTTTTGGTTGAGTATAAAGATCTAAGACTCTAAGATTTTCCCAAGCACGGACCCACTTCAATACACTACTGGCACACACTGGTCACTGTCCCATTCACAGGGCCCAGGCTCCCTGCATCGATGCAGCTACGAGTAACAAAAACGTTGACAGGTCATTCGCAACCGCGAAAAACATAACATGGGTAATATGTGGGTCATTAAATGTCCCCATTGAACATCACCCAACCATTAGGTATATGGTCTATAATGGCTACTATAAGGTGATGTCCAATATTCCCAAAATGGGACAGTTACCAACCCCTGTTTAATAACACAGCACAAAACATCCTTTGATGGGAAACCATTCCAGACTGCGGAGTTTCTATTGCCAAAGGGGTGTAAAACTGACTTAGCAAGATTCGTGCGTGAGCACCGGGCGATGTTGGTCGGCATACTCTTTGCCTCGGCGGCAGGGTGTGTGTGTGCAGCCAATATTCATCCATCATCCAACACCCTAATACTACACTCCTGAAGTAAGCCCAAAGATCGGATTAAATTTAGGATGGATAGGGAACATAGCTTTGAATTTTCTAGATTACAACTTGTTTTTTCTGGATTAATTTCTATTTTTGGTAATTATATTTGGATTCCAACTCTTGCTTTTCTGGATGCCACCAACATTGAAAAAAATCCGAAACCCAAATGATCAGTTCCTGCATTTTTCTACACCTAAATCAATGGAGGTGAATACACCCTCTCTGTTCTCATATGTTCACAATATATTTCGCAATTCCCAGGGCTGTTCCTACCGATGATAAACAACTTTTGCGCCCAAATAAAAAGCAAAAACCAGCAAAAAATGAAGAACAACTATGGGGTGGAAACGATAGCACCCCCATCCTTACCACATCCAAAGATATTGTACCATACGATAGTCCGTTTCATGTAAACCTGAAGATCAAATTTAGGCGTTGAAGATTGAAGCAGCGCAAGCGTCCAAAGTTCAGGCTATGTTTTAAGCTCTGGCATGCAAACTAATAGAATAATACCTCATGAACCAGCGTTTTACCAATATCTGCACCAATGTGTGTGATATTCGCCTCCAGCAACCGGTTTTTTTCCAATCAAACTAGTGTGGCAAACCCAGCATCGAACAGCAGCCGGGTCTGGTTCAGTGTCCATGGAATTTATGATCCCCGACCCCCAATGACTGGTCTCCCATTCCCATCATCTTCCCATATTGGGCTTCTTATGGGAGTATATATTACATAATTCGAACCCTTTATAAAACTATCGTAAATAAACCGAAGCCCCTATAAAACCATCTGGTTGGTGGTTTCAACCCCTCTCAAAAAAAATGAGTCAGTTGGGATATGTTGGGATGATTATTCCATTCCCAATATGATGGGAAAAATCATCAAATTCCATGGTTCCAGTCACCACCAACCAGATATATTGTCATTCCAATTATTAAGCATTATTAACCATAGATTAACCATAGATTAACCAGCCCAATATGATGGGAAAGTCATCAAATTCATGTTCCAAACCACCAACCAGTCATCCATTTCGTCCACAATTTTCCCAGACTTTTCTCCATGATTTCGGGGGCACAGAAGGCGCTCCGCAAGACATCTGCCACGCGATCCGTGCGCTCCGCTGCCAGCTGCTCGCGCTCTGGCAAGTCCTGGACGGGCCGCGGGCCGCGAGAAAATCCATAGGAAAGTCATGGGGAAAGCTGGAAAAACCTATGGGAAGATCATGGGAATATGGGAATTACCACAGGAATTCTGATGATTTATCTGTTTACTGTGATTTGAAAGTTGGGATTGATGGGAATATAGCTATGAAAAATGGAGGTAGAATGGGATTTTCCATGGTGATTTTTTTTCGGTGATGTGATCTGAGATTACCCTCCGGGTATTGCTAGATAAAGGCCTTATTGTGAAGAACATAGGAAAGTCATAGGGAACTATGGGACACAAATGGAAAACAATCCTGATATGGAGGTACTCTTACCATGGAATTAGAATTCATACGGTTTTTTAATGGCAAGATTTCTCCGGATTGAATCAAGAAACATGTGGATATAGGAAGTACCCTCTAGTTATTCAACATAGCTATGGAATAAAATGGGAATATAAATGAACATAAATGACCATAAATGAACCATAATGTGAATGTAATGGGAATGTAATGGAATATCATGTGATAAAATGGGAATACCATGTTTTACCCTTTGGTTATTTTACACATACTGTACTTATAAATATATATGGAATTATATGGAAAATTCATGAAAATTCTCCGTATATAAATGGGAGTTTATAGCTGGGGAAACCATGTTACATGTGGAGCATGTTCCATGGCTATTTGTTTAGTTACCAGAAGGTTTTTCATTCGAGAATTTGGGGTCCAAACACCTTCGAGATTGTATGTAAGGAGCACTAGGGATTTATCGTCATGCAATCTATTCACAAATATATTCACATACTGTCACTAGATACATTGGTTACATGCTCATCTTAACTAGGCCTACTAGGCAATCTGGATTGCACAACCCAGGGGGAGTATATATATAAATATACATGGTCATCCTATTTACATTGTATATATATATATACATTATATATATATATACACAATATGTATATATATACACAATATGTATATATATATATACATATATGTGTGTGTGTGCGTGTGTGTGTGTGTAAGATGATAAACAATTACCGATCTACTGAAGATGTATTGATTCCAACATCTTCCCACACCAACGATGATGATGACGACGACGACGTGTAAATCGTGATGATACTGATAGTGTTTCCCAGGGCTTGCCAGTTTTGAAATGTTTTTTTTGTTGTTGCTTCCATAGCCAGGCCCTTCTGATGGTCCCAAAGGTCGAAATCGGTTACCCTCTGGTAAACTAACATAGCTATGGAAAATCACCATTTATAGTGAGTTTTCCCATTAAACATGTTGATTTTCCATAGTTATGTTAGTTTACCAGAGGGTAAACATGGATGATCTATAGATTTCTCCATTGCCATATTTGTTTCCCGAAGGGTGCCCAAGGGGAAACTTCCGCCTTTCGAAGCCTCTGATGAAGCTCGTGATACCTTGGATCGCATGGATCGCCATATCCCCTGGATCGATTCACAGTGACTCAGTGGATCTACATGGATCTACCAACGATAAGAATCTCCAAGGAACTTCTCGGCTTTCCAATAATCCTCCAAGATCGATTTTTCGCGCCATTCATCTTTAAACTCTTCTTCCTGGTTCGTGTTTCCAATGAACATGGGAGAAATTAATCTCTCGGCTAACAAAATCCGTGATTTCATGCAACAACTTTGGGGGTTGCAACGGTTAGGCCGAATCATGTCCTCTCTACGGGCAATTGTGATTGTATGCTATTGTATGCGCACATACGATTCGAAAATGCCATCATTTGGATAAAAAGATAAATGCGACGCAACGTGCTGGGGATTGCAAGAGTGCGGACAAATCCGGGCTGAAGAAGGCGGTTCATGGATAAAAGGGTTTCACAGGTTTGTGCACAAATGCATGGACCGACAAATATCTAAAGAACCCACCAAGCTACTTACAATACAACTATTAGAGATACAACTAGATGCTGGATCATCAAACAAAGGATGCCATCAAACCATCTGGAGGTTTCCTGAAATGGGGGTACCCCATTTCATCATCCATTTTAGTAGGATTTACCACTAAACCAACCATTTCGCACATGGCATACGTGGAAAGTGCTGGATCCCTCTGGTAATTTGTTACATAGCGAAGTGGAAAATCACCATCTTTCAGAGGTAAAACATGGTAAAACATCTATTTCCATGGTCCATTTTCCATATGTCACAAATTACCAGAGGGTAACTCAATGACTCGGCGATTTTCCAAGCCACGTAGTGATTACATCAGCCATGACCATGCTGCCTTGGTGATAACGACCCTAGTTCCCACATAAGAAACCTCCAGCCATAAAGACAGAATTACCCTCTGGTAATTTAACATAGCTATTAAAGATGGCTATTTATATATTTTCCCATTACAAAAATGTGATTTTCCATAGTTTTTTGTATGTTTACCAGAGGGTACCCACATATTAAATGCACTAAGATATCCCAACTCATCAATGATTGTTTTGTTGAGAGGATTCAGATGCACGATTGTATATCCCAACCACTTATATTACATAATGACATATCTATAAAAAAGGATCCACCAATGGTTGGTGTTCATCAAATCATACGATGCTTGGTCCACCGCCGCCATTTTCGGTCCCGATGAAGCGCCTCGGCTTCATACTCCTCCTCTGGTTCCTCGTAACCCCGGTTCAGCGTTCCTGGGCGTTGGACAAGACACGAGTTACCATGGTGGATGTAGAGGATTTACACTTGAAAATGGGACCATACAATGGTGTTGTTTAAATAATTGGGGGAATAGGATGAATATATATATATATATGTAGAATATCTAATAGTCTAATATGTATCTAGTAGGTAGATGGATGGATAGGTAGACACTCAATGACACATGATAGTTACAACTTCCGCATAATCCTCGAGACTATGACATGTACGCAGTCAATGAATCCTCGTGCGCAATGACCTGGAACCTGCAACCAGTCTTGCAAGCACGCATGCTACAGCAACAAAGTTGTCATACAAACACAATTTTCCAAGAAAACTAGACTAACATGAAGTTTTTAGCTGGGACAATCATCTATCAATGCGCTTTTTGTTCCGGCAAGTCGTGTGATATTTGCCGAGAGGATGACGGGACCTCTTACTGGTGTAGCCCCATTATATATATATATGACTCATATGACAGTAACAACTGGCTTACAATGATATCTTAACCTTATAGTTACAGCATTTGTAATCCCATTTGTAACTGGTTTTCAGCTCAGCATCCAAAAGACTTGCGGACGTTCTTGCGCTTCAGCCTGTCCCGAAGTCCCCTCTGCCGCTTTCGGTAGCCTCGCTGGGCCACTGGCGGGACCATCAGTGATGCATTACAAAAACAAACATCCCAATAGATTCCTCAAGAATGGTGAGTTAGATGTCCCCAGCCAACTAACAAAGTATAGACATGGAAAATCCATCATTGGTAGATTATTCCCTAGGGGAACCCTAGCCTTTCCCTATCTATGTGAGTTTACCTGAGGGTAAGCTGTTGTTTTGACTTGTTGCATCTGTATACTTTTTGTATATATATATCACATATATACATATATGTATAGCTCTATGTATATATAAAAAATGTAAACCATAATATATGTACATATCTTCCGCGGGACATCCATAGTTCATCACTGTTTGATTGGTTTATTGTGGTTGGCAAAGCCCACAACTTAACGACATGACATTGGATTTTGGCCACAGGGCGCTCTTCTTGATACACCCTGATGAAGTCCGAGAAAATGGAACCTGCAGCCAGCAAGGATCAGCCAGAAAGGCGTGTCCTGATATTTGGGTGCATGGCATCCCCATGCCAAAAAAAACATATCTAACATATCTTGACTTGGGAATACCTGGAGAAAATTCGGAGATGAGATGAATCTGTTGTTTTTTTTTGGACATTTCATACCATTTTCGAACGCTAAAGAAGTTGGTGGGTCCCAATTGGATCCCGGATCCTCTTTTGGGTCGGCCCAAGTGAGGGCCGACCTGTTCTGGTTTCCATATGTTTCCATGTACCCTCCGGCAATCAAACATGACAACAGGATATATCCCCCCTATATCCTATGTCCTATGATGCCATTTAATGGAGCATTCCCCATCGCCATCTCTTGGTATTGCGGTTGGGGGTCGCGTTTCACCACCTGGCACTGGAAGGCGTTCACCTTTGCGGGACGTTTGGTTTTTGTTTTTCTATGTGGCTACTGGTTGGTGGTTGACCTACCCCTCTGAAAAATATGAGTTCGTCAGTTGGTTAATAGTGATTAATGTTGATTAATAGTGATTAATAGTCTGGTTGGTGGTGTACCTACCCCTCTGAAAAATATTAATCAGTTGGGATGATTATTCCCAATATACGGAAAAATAAAAAATGCTCCAAACCAGCCAAACCACCAACCAAATGCCATAATGCCAATGATGGGTCAAAACAAATCAAAACCTGCATACCCTGGGTTTTCACATCAAGAAAACTCAAAACAGCTGTGGCTTGTTTGCCACGCATTGGTTTCTCCACTGGTTCATTTGGGGGCTGTTCAAAATTGTGTTCAAAATTGATGGTCCACACTCGGATACTAAAAGTCTTGCATGGGTTTTAGAACGGCTCCCATATATGGAACAACATGGTTTTTCATCCGTCCCCATCCCGACTTGGCCAAGGATCCGTCGGGGTTTGCTTTGCCCAGCCGGTCCAAAACCTGGGCCCGGGCCCTATGAAGACGGGAAGGGATTTTATAGGGATTTTCTGGTGATTCTTCTGGGGATCAATAAGGATCGAACTGACTGAACCAACATGAACCAACAATCAATGAGGATGGTGGGATTTTTGGGGGTGCAATTGAACTTGTTCATGGGTATAATATGCTAGTCACCTCCATCAGTTGGGATATAACCCCCACAACTAAGGTCATATCTATAGTGGAACTGCTGCCCCAGGTGGATTAAAACATGTTAAATAAAATGGTTTCTTAGGGAAGAGTTGCAGGAACCCCTGCTTCCTACCTTTACTTGATATGGGGGACCCTTCTGGCCTTCTGGGAATGGCCTTCACCATTGAAGTTGCTGAGCTCTCTACATATCGTGCACAACCCATCATCAAAGTGCAATGATTGCACATGCATTAGTCGGATACTTCTAATTGTGGATGACCAAGTTTTGTTTGGATCAGTACAGATTTTGCATCACATTTTGAAGTTCAAAACGTATTAAACCAAGAGAATATGTGAATATAGAGAAACAAATGCAATCTGCTATCAGAAGCTCTCTTGCAAATCCTAGCTTCTTGCACATTCCAAAGTATTTTTATTGATCCAAAAATAACAAACATCCGGCAAATGCCCCTTGGTTTCAGCGAGTCTGTCTGGCATTCTGAATGGCCTATTCGCCTTGATATGTATTGGAGACATACACACACACACATATATATATATATTATATTATATATTATATATTATATTTATATTTATTATGTGGATCTATTGTTTTTTTTGCTGTGTTTTCTTCGTTTGGTAAATGCCTACATCAGGTCTTAGACCCCAAGAAATACCGATCCACCCACTTTATCTGCCCCAGTTGAACGCGGCCATCTTGGAGGGCCCCTTGACAGCAAGGCACAAATTCATTGAACTTGGCATAGTCACCCTGCAGCATCACTTTTCGAGTCGCAGCCTGCGAGAGAAGGGCATTTTGGCATTTTTTGAAGCCGCCTTTTCAGTGGGGAAAAGGTGGGAACAACCAAGTAATGAGCAAATGTGACATAGTCAAAACATGGTATATGCGGTGTGGTGATTCATCCCAGAGTGGGAATCTGGAATAAGCTATGTGAAGTCTTATCAAATTGTGATGAATGTTGATGACCATGGCAAACATGTATCTCACATAAAATGCAAGAGTTCCAGCTTTGGGCTGCGGTCTTGTTGTTGAATCTTTGGACCTCCCTTTAACCAATGTCTTCAAAGGTACCCTCTGGTAATTTAACATAGCTATTGAATATGACCATTTATAAGGGTTTACCCATTGAAAATTGTGATTTTCCATAGTTTTTTGTATGTTTACCAGAGGGTAACACTTTGGACCAACCAAGTCTTCTGAGAAACCTCAGAAATCGAACTCCTGCCGCCAGCGGCTGCTCAGTTAGATCCTGCGAGTTCTGTATCCCAGAAATATATGGGTCATCGACCACTTACGATTCCGATGCCAAGTATTTTTACAGAAAATTTGGATCCAGTGAAGTCGCCGTCCTCCTGATCCCGGAACATTTTGACAATAGATAAACCCCATTTCTAGTGGATTTCCCATGGGGAAGATGACCAAAAATGACCTTGAACAAACCCAGTTATAGATCCCATAAATATAACATAAATATATAATCCCCAACTCAAGCTTCAACCCGTTGGCCCATCTTCCGTTCCAAGTCACTGGAATGCCTTTTATATGGATATATATGGTAGGTCATGTCAGTAAAGCAATAATAATTCACACATGTGTGTGTATATATATATACATATTATGGTTGATACCACCGATAAGGCTTTACTAACATTACCTCCAATAAATCACTACCAAACATCTGAATCACTATCAATCATGATTCATCAGCATCAATCAATCAATCAATCAACCACTATTGATGAATATCCCATCACTTAAACAGTGATAAACTTTTTGATTTTCCCCAGCTATCAGCTGATAAAAGTCAACTTTATACCATGATTATCCCATCACAATTATCTGGTTGGTGGTTTAACCATCTTGAACAATATGAGTTTGTCAATGGGAAGGGTTATTCCCATATATTATGGAAAATAAAATGTTTGAAACCACCAACCAGATAATATGTCATAATATTTCCCATAGGATTAGGATATTTCATGATATGTCCATATATAGTTCCCATCCTTTACCAGCAATTATCCTATCTTATCAATAGATTTTCCCAGCTAAAAATAGGTTAAAATCCTCCATTTTTTGCATTTCCCCGAGGCCCCACGGCCTGCTGGCGCCGTGCGGTCCGACCAGCTGGGCCTTTTTTCACGCCGACTCCCTGCCTTAGTTCGCCGAGCGACGGGGGCGGGGATTCATGGCATTACGATGGGAGGATACGATGGGAGGATACACGCCATAAAATGGTTAATAATAATACTGCTTTCATGGAGGGTTTAATGGAAGGGTTAATGATGGTTAATGATGGTTAATGATGGGCTATATACTGCTATAATGGAGGATTATTGATGGTTGATGATGGTTAATGGTTAATGATGGTTAGTGGGTAAATCAGATCATCTATATAGGTCTGGTTGGTGGTGCAATAGCCATCTTGAAAAATCGGAAAATGGGAAGGACATGGAAGGATGACATCCCATATGGACGGATGGGATATAATAATGCTTTACCCTCTGGTAATTTGTGACAGTTTGCGAACTGGAAAATGGCCATTGAATTCGTGGATTTACGCATTGAAAATTGTGATTTTCCATGGTTTTCTGTATGTTTACCAGATGGTAATTATGTCATAGTAATAGGATACAAGATGATCTAGAAAAAACATGAAGAAACAACCAAGCAATTTCAATACTAATGATACTAATGGAAAATCATAGGAATATGACATGATCTTGGGGATTTCCGTTGGTCCGGATGTCCTGGAAGCCAACAGTTGCGTAGTCTCATCATGTGCAAAGTGAAAATATGAAAATATGGTGGGTCCTGGGGGATGTGCATCCCAGAAAGTGGTTCATGACCCATTGGTTTCAACCCCTCTGAAAATATGAGTTCGTCAGTTGGGAATATTCTTCCCAATATATGGGGGAAAAAAATGTTCCAAACCACCAACCAGCATATATGTATATAGAATTGAGGATATTCCATTAATTAGTCCAACTGGCGGTATAACCCAAATAACTGAGTGGGATGCACCCGCAAGTAGTGAGCGATGTGCTTCATGGACAAAGTGGACATGTTTACGGCAGGTTGGCGGCTCAGCTAACTAACCAAACATATGTTTGTGCGCAATGAATGTCTTGCAAAGGATACATGCTTTAGCCACATTTAGCCGGTGTGTGGAGCAAACAAACCGAATATCACAAACATTCATCAACTGCATTTAAAAAAATACAAGCACCGAGGGAAAGAAACACCCCGGTAATCAATTTTGGGGTTGAAGAAGGTAACAGGTAACATGCCTGAAAGATGGAAATCCCATTCAACAATTCATGGATTGCGAGTAAGGCTGTGTGCCGAATTTGTGGCAAGCCGAGCGTGAATGAATAGGACCAACTTTTTGACATGTTGCAGTTGAACAAATCTGGTACCAAACTGGCAAAGACCGGGTAAAGTTTGCATTGTGACATAAAAGAGAACCGGGTCACACTTGTGAACCCTCTAGGTACGACGAGTCTCGATTTTGCATCTGTGTCCTTGAGCGCAAGAGCTTGGCTTTTGTCTACTGCTTTCTCTTCTGGTTTTGTCTCAGCTGCCTCCTTCAGGGCAGGGTCTTGGCTCTTGTCCGCTGCTGTCTCTTCAGGTTTTGTCTTAGCTGCCTCCTTCAGGGCAGGGTCTTGGCTCTTGTCCGCTGCTTTCTCTTCAGGCTTTGTCTCAGCTGCCTCCTTCAGCACAGGGTCTTGGCTCTTGTCCGCTGCTTTCTCTTCAGGTTTTGTTTGAGCTGCCTCCTTCAGGGCAGGGTCTTGGCTCTTGTCCGCTGCTTTCTCTTCAGGCTTTGTCTCAGCTGCCTCCTTCAGTACAGGGTCTTGGCTCTTGTCCGCTGCTTTCTCTTCAGGTTTTGTCTCAGCTGCCTCCTCCGGGGCAGGGTCTTGGCTCTTGTCCGCTGCTTTCTCTTCAGGCTTTGTCTCAGCTGCCTCCTTCAGCACAGGGTCTTGGCTCTTGTCCGCTGCTTTCTCTTCAGGTTTTGTCTCAGCTGCCTCCTTCAGGGCAGGGTCTTTGCTCTTGTCCGCTGCTTTCTCTTCAGGCTTTGTCTCAGCTGCCTCCTTCAGCATAGGGTCTTGGCTCTTGTCCGCTGCTTTCTCTTCAGGTTTTGTCTCAGCTGCCTCCTTCAGGGCAGGGTCTTGGCTCTTGTCCGCTGCTTTATCTTCAGGTTTTGTCTGAGCTGCCTCCTTCAGGGCAGGGTCTTGGCTCTTGTCCGCTGCTTTCTCTTCAGGCTTTGTCTCAGCTGCCTCCTTCAGCACAGGGTCTTGGCTCTTGTCCGCTGCTTTCTCTTCAGGTTTTGTCTGAGCTGCCTCCTTCAGGGCAGGGTCTTTGCTCTTGTCCGCTGCTTTCTCTTCAGGTTTTGTCTCAGCTGCCTCCTTCGGGGCAGGGTCTTGGCTCTTGTCCGCTGCTTTCTCTTCAGGTTTTGTCTCAGCTGCCTCCTTCAGTGCAGGGTCTTGGCTCTTGTCCGCTGCTTTCTCTTCAGGTTTTGTCTCAGCTGCCTCCTTCAGGGCAGGGTCTTGGCTCTTGTCCGCTGCTTTATCTTCAGGTTTTGTCTGAGCTGCCTCCTTCAGGGCAGGGTCTTGGCTCTTGTCCGCTGCTTTCTCTTCAGGCTTTGTCTCAGCTGCCTCCTTCAGCACAGGGTCTTGGCTCTTGTCCGCTGCTTTCTCTTCAGGCTTTGTCTCAGCTGCCTCCTTCAGGGCAGGGTCTTGGCTCTTGTCCGCTGCTGCCTCTTCTGGTTTGATTGCAACTGCCTCAGTTCCTGAACTTTGTTGACTTTGCAGTCTCTGAAGTGCCAGCGCCAACTTGCTGCTCTGTTTGGCAGACCTCCTGCCACTGGAACTCTTGGTCTCCTTTGGTGCCCCAGCAGCGCCCAAGCGGCGCCGACCGCGACCGCTGGGAAGGTCATGCTTTTCCCCCGGTTTCCTTGGGCGCAGTCTTTTCTCTTTGAGTTTCCTGAAAGTTGGCAGTTAGACGTACTCACGTCTAGGTTCCATCCCCGTGTCCATAAACTAAATGGGGACGCACTCCAAAAGTGTTCAAGTAAGGTTGAAAATTTCGAACCAAGGAACTACACCAGAATCCAGCCAAATTTCAATGACATTGACAACCAATGGTGATTTCAAGAAGCTTCCAATAGTTCATCCCATCCCAAAAAGTGTTTCAGCAAGCAACGGCGCATCTTTCTCCTCCATGATCTCAAAGAGATCCCTCCACAAAACGTAGTAGGCCCTCACTGGGCTCATCCTCGGATTTGCATCCCTATGGGTGAATATACCCGATAATATGCCCGTGGAAATGGTATAAGGTTTAGGGTTTGAGGTTTACCCGTGGAAATGGAATGATGTAAATGACAATCAAATGTTGATTAGTTTACCACATTGGCATTCGGTCTACAACAATAAACATTGCATATGGTATAGGTACATCTATAGATGGGTGAAATTAGGCAAATTTTCAAACTGGGGCCAGAGTGTATGAGTTTTACTTCGAGGTAACAAAGGATAGTTATAAGTTATAAGATGCTAATTGTTTCTTGGTCTTGTCAGTGGCATGATCCCCATATAATTAGGTGTGCGAACTGAATTAATGGGAAACAACAAGAATCATATTTTGGGTCTTATTGGTAAGAAACCATCATTTTTTAATCTATCTAATATATATATATATATAATTGTACATATAATAAATAAATATATGGGCATATTCCATATATCATTTAGATATATTTAATATAGAACCATGGGAAACCATGGGAAACCCACAATTATGTGGCTAAGCTTCTTGGTTTTCGTTCCAGCCCTTTCGAATATATATCAAAGGGATGTATCCACCGACCCCGACAGAAGAGAGTTCACCAGAGCTGACCTGACCGGAACTTGAGAACCCGCTCAAGAGAAACTATAGATCTGACCTGAATCCCAAGAAAAGATCTGACTATAAATCTTGCTAAAAACCTGACATGTCTGAGTCATATCTGACATATCTGACATATAGGCGCAGCAGAACTCCTTGTGACTTCGAAGTTCCTGAACGATCATTTCAGCTAACTTTATGAAATATACTTCCAAAAGTGGCCGTTGTCGTTGTCATCACTTAACAGTGTGCCTCAGGATGCCTTGTGATATCTCAGAGTTTATTGTGGTGTGCACGGTGTGCACTCCCCAGATCTTAAGCCATGATCAAACCCTTATCACTTCGCCAAGCGTCGGCATGGGGTTCTCCTCCAAATGTTTTTGGATCAACATTCTTACCCTGGGCTCGGCGGATGAAACATGTGCGAGCCATGGATAGCCCTGACCAAATCCACCACAATCATCGAATTCTTGCTCCAGAAAGCCGTGAAATGATAATATATCAATATTCTTTGGCGTTGTGAGCAAGCCGCTGAGGCCTTCAAATTACTCCAGTTCTTAGACGGTCTGACGGTTCTAGTTCTGGTACAAAGATTTTGGTGTGGTAAACACAATGCCATAAACCATGGAATTACTGTGGCCAGCCATGACTGGACGTCATTTTACATCATCCCATTTCTAGGGGATACCCAATAAATATCAATTGCGGATGGTTTACTAAGCACGACTAAACACCACTACAGTAATAATCATGGCATTGATCACTACTAATCACTGTTAATCAGTATTTATCACTACTAATCACTCTAAATCACTATTAATCACTCTCTCTCTCTCTCTCTCTCTCTCTCCATCGCCCTCTCCAAGAGTTCAGTCACAGACTGAAGGCTATTAATCACTGTAAAGCACTATTAATCATGATTAATCACTATTAATCAATACTAATCACTTTAAAATGGCACCAAGAGTTTACCTCGACTCAGTCTTCTCATCAGTCGATCTTCCTGGGGATCATCGAATCCCCCGCTGAACTAACAGCACACACTATGTAGTATATATATATATATCAGATCACGTTTGAATACGTTTAATATATTTTAATATATCCAGATCCATATAACATCAGTGACTATAATATATAGAACCTTATAATATATTATACTTATATAAAATATGTTACAAATGTATGCATCTTTCTGTAAGTTGCCATATATATATATATTTTTCTGTTACAAAACTGAGTGGGATGATGACAATGCTTTCCTCCGCCCCCCCCTCGTGGTGGGCTTGCTAGAGAAATATATGATGTATTCATAAGCCAACAGCCCATAGAAAGAGACCAAACCCGAAGAATGGCTTGGTTTCAAGACTTCAACACAGGAAAGTCATTGAAGCTTCAATATGCTTCAGCATCTTTCAGCTCCAGGCCTCTCCCATTTCTGACTCTCTGTCTCCTCTTCCTTCCCCTCGACCTTCACTGCCGCGCGCTTTTTCGGTGCGTTAGCAGCTGGGGTCAGATCCTCCCAATGCCTCGGATCTCCGATCTCCAAAGCCCAATGATTCCAATGGGCACCCTCCAGTATTGTAGATATATAATTTTGTTATAGATAATATCTTATAGTATGATAGGATGTTATCGAGTTCCAATTTTACTATGACCATTTTTCATTTTATTATATAGATAATTTACCTATGAGAAATGGTGGTTTTCAATGGCTATGTTAGTCTATCAGCTGGTATGCATGCGCCCAAAATTAAAAGTCATCATGGCAATCATCACCATCCAGCCTCAAGATCCCCACGGGGCCCTCTTTTGGGGTGTTCAATTGCTCCTAGCAAGCGGTTTTTCCGAGCCATCGAAGCCCAATATGATCAAAATGACACAGTTGCCAATCTTCTCCCAAATTCTCATAATTCTCCAATCAGTTTTATGATGGTTTTATTCAAATAGTTCCCCCCCTACCAGAATTGAAGTCACCATCATTTTCCCATGCCCTTGGTCGCTAAGCCCAGCCCTTGTCTCAAGCTGCTCGGAGATGAACTCCATGGGCCTGAGGAATGACGAATGCTCAGGCCTTCACTATCCTTCTGGCTGTGGCAAAATATCCTAGCTGACCTGTAGAATCAACATATGGATCATCCATTCAAAAAAGAACCAACCTTTCGCAGGATCATAATCTTTTACAGTATCAACATGTATCAAACTGGTTCATTGCCTAGCAAATTGAAGCTTGAACCACTTGTTCCCATGCTACAGTACCAGGGAGGTTCTACATAGTCACTCGGTACTCCATTGGTGCGGAAGCTCAATTATTTTCAAAAAAGTGGCGTGGTTTCTTAAAGACCTTTAAGACCCAAACATGTAAAATGGATTCTCACTGGTGGTTACAACCAGTGAGATACAAAAAGTACCCCCACAAACCCAGGTCTTCATGTCCCAGCCGCTCGGGGACTCGCTGGCTCAAGGGCCGGCGGTGCAACGGCTGGCGCAAGGTGCTGCTCCGGCGCACCGCCACCAGCGATCGGAGAACGGCGCTGCTCCGGAGCATGGCGGCCATGGCGCGGCGGCACCGCCATGGGCCGATGCCAAAATGCGTCGAATCCCTTGTTTGGTAGGAAACTGAGGTGACAAATTGACAAATTGGCAACAAAACAACAAGAAATATAACCACTTTTGGTGGTTCATTCAAAAATGTGTAAGAATAAAAATGGAATATGCTGTAGGGGGGTTGGGTCATTTAATACCATGAGTTCAAGCGCTAAAACTGCTCATCTTGCAGAACTGATGGTAACAGTTCCGAGGACATAACAGCCGGCAGCCAAACACCTCTGGATTCATTCTGCTAAGTTGGTTTCCAACTCATGGGTTTTCGTAGATATGTACATATGTACATAATTATTTTACAATATTTTACACATAGATGACAGAATCTATGGTTGATGGGGTTCACAAACCGACAATATAATCGGGTGGGCATGATCTTGTCGCCAAATTCATATGTTAGCCCTCTTCAAATGCATAAAATGTTGGGCGATCTGTTGCACTACTCCGGAAAGCCCTGCTGGCTGCAAAAGGAATCACTGTAGCGAAGGATCTGCAGTTGAATTCCTTACGGTGTTGCCCCAATCTTAACACATACGCCAAAGGTATCGAAAAGTTCAGATCTCCAAGGTTTGGGCAGGACTTTAACCTGATCTTCAACAACTTTATCCCCCGGCTGACCCAGGCCATGGCTCCTGGTTGATGTGGACCAGGTAAGGTGGAGAAAATGACCAGCTTGGCGTTTGGGTGACCGACACACATGGGTGGTACCCAACCGCCAGCATGTTGCTACGTTCACCACTTTGCGTTGAAAATTCATAGGTATACTCGTTGGTGGTTGACCTACCCCTCTGAAAAATCATGGAGTTCGTCAGTTGGGATGACGACATTCCCAATCTATGGAAAGTCATAAAAAATGTTCCAAACCACCAACCAGATTATACATGGGTAATTCTGGGTAGGTTGTGGTGGTAATTCGTGAGTACGGGGCCCAAGTAGCCATTTAAGATCCATTTAAGTTATGTAAACTCCCAACATCTCCCAGCTGTCGCCCTTTTCTGCAGCCCTCACAGCGGCACGTCTTCAGAGTCCTTGCCACAACGGGGTGCGCCAAAGCCATTTGTTGACCTAACAAGGATCATCTACAACTGTGGGACTATGACTTGGGATTTTCCCACTATTCTACCCAACAACATTGGGCTGAATCAAAATTGATCCCAAAATCTGGATGGATTGCACCAAGAATGACAAACTATCATCATATGGTTGGGAAATTCTTGATAGCTCCCGGGCTCCCCATTTAAAAGAACATGTAGACAACCATAGCTCCTTCGCTCCTCAGCTCCTTCCTAACCACCAAGCAGGTCCTTGCCACCCGCGAAGTCTTTCGTGGCCACCCATGGGCGATTCGGCGAACTCGGCCACTTCGCAGTTCTGCAGGTACCTGGGTCCCAAAGGGGCCACCCGTTAGCGCCTACCCAACCTGGGAACAGGGGAACAGTCCAATTTTGATAATTTTGCGGAACAACATTTCTAAGAACCTACAGAAGGAATTCATCATCTATAGCAAATATAGCCTGAACTCATCTTATCTTATGCATTCTTATGCTAGTTCCCATGAACAATCATCTATGGACCAAACTGGGAGGCCAGAGCTCGACTTTCCGACCAGGGATCGAAGGTGCAGAAACTGGGCACCTTTGAATTTGGATACAATTTGGTTTGGAGATGATGGTGATATCACCAACTAATGATTAGGATATGAACGGATATGAAGATATACTGGTAGGATATACTCCACCAATACCCTGACCATCATTCAATACATTTGTTTTCTTGGGATTTGTTACCAGTTTTTTCCATTTCTTTCCATGAAAGTGATTGGGGAATAACTTTTCGCCTTACACCAATCCGTTGATTTTTTTGGGTTGGTGGTTTCAAACCCCTGATTTGCAAGCAAAAAAATGTGTCCGTCAGCTGGAAAGACTCCAGAAATCCAGCGCACCCCTCAAAAAAAACTAGAAACCAGTGAACTGAGGAATTGAGTTACATTCAGAGGAGTTGTTGCACGAAACCCTTCAAAGGACCTTAAAAGGTCGTTAAATCCCACTGAATTCGTGCAACAACTCCACCTTTTCCAAGGTCCCCCCCGACTTCCGCCCGACCCACCTTCCCAGCAGCGCTGCAAAGAATGCCCCGTGGCCAATGACCACGATGCGCTGCCTGGGATGAAAAGTTGAGGCTTGGCCATGGTGACATGGATACCCTCTGGTAAACTAACATATAGAAAATGGCTCATCTATAGTTGATTTACCTATGAAAACAGAGATTTTCCATAGCTATGTTAGTTTACCGCAGGGTATGCGTGTATTCAAATGTGGGATTCTATCGTGGTTTTATGGGGGGGTTTGGTAAAGATGTGCAACCCAAAAGCTGTGTTTTTCTTGCAACAGTTGTCGCCTCCCAATAGCCTGTCAACAATTGTTGAACATAGTGAATATGGATCAAATGAGGTTGGCTGTGGGGAGGAAATGGATGGAAATGGTATTTTGTGATGGGATGGGATGGGTTAATTAATTACATCACTGCTTGTGGAAATATGATTTAAAATGATTTAAACACATATGGATGAAATGTGGCTCATGTGGATGATTTCTTCGACATAATCACCCGGCATCTCACTAGACAAAATGGAGATCAATGGAATTCAATGTGGCAAACGGGTTTACCATACACAGATAGTACCGGAAGAGGAACTGTGGTCGTGAAGGCCGCTTCCGTTGCCCTTGACATCCGTGTGCCCTTTCCTCCCGATTTTTTTTCTCGCAACAAATTGGAGCGCTTGCAACAGTGGCGCCACCATACTCCAGCATCTCCCCATCTGAGGGTCCTATTGGTATTGATACATCCTCGGCCGGACATTGGCACCAATTGACCCGACCCAAGTTGTTGGCAATGTTTAATTAATGTCAAACCACCCATCTTGAGGAATGATAATTATCTGATCATTGAGAAACTCTCTGGAGTAGACTGGACCAGTCCTGAATTTCTGCGGAAACCCACCAGGGTCTCCCCTACTGGCGGGAAAACCAATTTCCGATGCAGGGCGTCTATGTACAAACCTCCATGCCACTGTCCTTGGTTAAAGCTGAAGGGTTAGACCTGCTGACCCTGGTGAATCCCATGACAGCAACGGCTATGTTGAACATGTCGACTGTTTCATGGACATACCACTTGCTTCACATGCAAAACATTGAAGTAGGCACCTGTATTATCATGTATTCTTAAATGCTGTGTGTGTGATGTGTAAGCCAAATGCAAGGTGTGCGTTTCACCGTTTTTTTATGTTTTTTCTAGAGATAGCTGAAACATGCTGAGACCAGCCACCTAAAAACCGTAAATTCTCGAGTTTTCAGGCCAATGGAGGGGATACCCAGGAAAACGGATGAACATGTGATTTGTAGGCCCCAACTCCACTGATGTATCATCACAATGGCCATTCTACGCTTATCCGTGACTGCAATGAGTTGCTGAGAAGTCTGGGAAGTCCATGGTGGTCGAATCCAGCGATGTGTCCAACCGCGCCAAGCCGGCCTGGTGTCAGAGGCTGCAGAGAAAGCTGACAAAATAAAGCCACATAAAACCAGCCAAATGAGGAAAGGACCAAATGAATGGCTGTATTTTCCTATACTCAAATGTACATACATATACATATATATATATATAGAGAGAGAGAGTAGCGGACAAAATTGTATGTTAAATTTAATGCCATGCACAAATTAGGCTCGCCCCCTATCGGTTGTGAGGATTTCAATATTCTCATGAACTTCCACACTACCCCCCGCCGTACTACCCTACAAAAATATTAAGGATTTGACCATTTGTGGATTCCTTATTAGCATACTAATAAGATATTATTAGTATGCTAATAAGGAAAAAAATCTCATTCTGGGATACGGATACAACCCTTAAATGTATCCTATTAGCATACTAATAATATGCTAATAGTAGCTTAAAATTAGATAGTAATTAAGGCCTAAAATCCATTACGTGTGATTTTGTATCCAATTCCTTATTAGTATACTAATCCGGTCTACATTAAGAAAAGTGCCTTTTTTCTTATTAGTATCCTAACAAGGATTTGTATCCCCTAAATCATACAAAAACTTAATAGTATGCTATTAAGGCAATTTCTGTCCTTATTAGTATACTAATAAGTTTTTGTATCCAAGCCCGGCCCTGGGGGATACAAAAAATTAATAGACACCTAATAAGGCAAATTGTTATCCCTTTAAATCCTTATTAGGGCACTAATAAGTTTTTGTATCCAAACACTATATCATGGGATACAAAAAAAGTACAACAACCTAATTGGCCTCTAATAAGGAGCAATTGTGGATGTTATCCCTTCCAATACTTATTAGGGCACTATTAAGTTTTTGTATCCAAACACTATATCATGGGATACAAAAAGAGTGCAAAAAACCTAATTGGCCTCTAATAAGGAACAATTGTGGATGTTATCCCTTCCAATACTTATTAGGGTACTATTAAGGTTTTGTTGTATAAAATCTTATTAGGACCCTAATAAGATGTTATACAAAAATCATCCCCGTCAATTTTGTATAAAATATTATTAGGCATCTATTAATGCCACAAATCTTATTAGGACCCTGATAAGATTTTATACAAAAATCATCCCCGTCAATTTTGTATAAAATCTTATTAGGCATCTATTAAGGCACAAATTCCTTATTAGGACCCTAATAAGATTTTATACAAAAATCATACCCTGTCAATTTTGTATAAAATCTTATTAGGCATCTATTAATGAAAAAAATCCTTATTAGGCGCCTAATAAGATTTTATACAAAAAAAAGTTGTATAAATCTTATTAGCATGCTAATAAGGATTTTTTTTCCTTATTAGCATGCTAATAAGTTTTATACAAAATGCCAAAATCAATTCTTATTAGGCTACTAATTAGTTTTGGTTTGTATCCACCCCATTTTCTTTATTAGGCTACTAATTATTTCTTGAAAAATCAGGGGATACAAACCCGTTTTCTTATTTACTATCTAAAATTCTCTTAGGGTAGTACTGCCGGGGGTAGTGTGGAAGTTCATGATATTCCCGGAGGTATCACAAATGGGGTATCGGTATAGGGTCGTCCCCTATCAGTTATGAAGGTTTTGTGAAACCTTGGAAAGGCCAAGGCGAAGCAAAGACTAAATTATATAGTATTACAATAATTTTGTCGGTTACTCATATATGTATATATATATATTTATTTAATGCTGTATGTCACCAAAATCAAACAAAACAATGCAAAATTCAGGAAAAAACAAGAAAACAACATGACAAACAAAGAAAACGTATCAAAAACCAGTGGTTTGGTGCAGCTTCCAGGATCTTCCAGGCCCACCTTAATCTCGGTCTCCAGCACCGTGGGCCCAGCACTGGGGAGTACCGTGCTCTGGTCAGAGGCATCACCTGCGACCATGGCTCTGCGGGAAGGAATTCTCCAGGTGGAGCCTCTAGAAAAACCATAGGAGAATGGTCATATTTCACCAACAATGGGGATTTCACATGATCTAATGGGATTTCATTACCATGTTTTATCCAGGTTTGTTTTTAATCAGATGGGGGGAATAAATCGTTAAACCCACTATCTGTGGGAATTATCTCTGTGAGAAGTCTCTGCCTGAATGATCCAAATGATTGATGGTCGAATCTCCAATGTGATGTAGAAGGCACGGACCCATAGCCACTACCAATAGCAACCTGGTTGGTGGCTTCAACCGCCCTGAAAAATATTAGTCAGATTGGATCATCATCCCAACTATTGGGGAAAATAAAAAATGTTCCAAACCACCAACCAGCACATGTTCTTCCAAACCCAATCTTTATACTTTTTGAGGTGAGGGTTCCATGACCCCAGCTCAGGTGTCTCCTGCCTGAAGCGTGTATAGCAGCGCGAAATCTCAAGAATTCCTGAGGCTCTCAACGCTTCATAGCGGGTCCGTCCAGAAATAGAACCGCGGTACATGCCCCCCAAAAAACATTTAAGCAGCACATGTCAACTATAGGATCATCATTTTCCACCATAGGATGTTCCGAGCTACAGCTACACAATGTGGTGCCCCCTAGTTATAAATTGGTTTATAAACCCCATTAACTATAGTTATAAATACCATAAACCATAGTTATTGGAGTTATAAACCAGCTTAGCTATCTAGGGGGCTCCACTTTGCAGTAGCCTTTTTGGAAAAGCCGGGAAAAAAAACTGTCCCACACTGGGTTCGCCCAGCGTTCTTCTCTGCTTCCGTAACGAGATCCGCCTGGCGGCACTGGGGCCCTGCAGGCCCTGGGGCCCTGGAGGATTCCCATGGAGGATCCAACTATAATGGGGCCAGAAATTATGAGATATACATGATATACATAACCAACTTCACATGATAATTGGATTTTGTTAATGGAGGCCTGCCCCAAAATTTGAGATTTGATTGGACAAGATAAACCATTGGATTTTGGATATTTTGGGGCACCCGATAAGACAAACCCAGATTGACAAATGGGCTCTCCCCAATGGTCAGGGTTGATTAATCAGGGTGGTTGACATGGCTACATTGGATTGACACATGGAAATGAGATCATTGCTTCCGGGTCCCGGATCTCTAGGACAGCACTTTCTGCTAAACTCATCATGGTTTCATGCAATCAATGCAGGTCCCTGCCCTAGCAGTGCGCAGTGCGCAGCGCAATCAACAGCCGCTTATGTAATTTCATGGGCCTCTCTTGGTCTAAGTCAGCCAGCGCGGAATTGATCAAAATGACACAGCAATGGTCATCAAAAAGTTCTGATAAGTTCCAGGCTATCAAACCAATCAATATATTGTTTCCAAGGCCGTACGCAAAAACCACCCATTTATGGATCCTCAAGTCCAAATCTTTGCTGGTCCAGCCTCTCATGTTCCTCAATGTTTGCTGCTTCAAACCCAATTGCTGCTGGCAAAAAGAACTAACAATCACGATTAATTACCAATGTTTCAAGGCAAAAACCATCAAAGTTTCACCAAAATCCACGTGTTTTCCCCATGTTTTCCTGGTAATAATCCAAAATCCCACCCCCAAATTGATGGTTTTCCCATGTGTTCCCATGTTTTCCCAAATTTATCCCAGTAAAACCGCTTATCTTTCTCCACGTTTTCCCACGTTTTTGTCCCGCCTCCAGCGTCTCCGCCGCGGCGTCCTGCCGCATCGCCGGCGCATGTTGCGGCGGCACACTGAGGTCGGAGAAGAGGCGCGCGAAGTCCTCAGCCTCGAGGCCTTAGAGATGACATGATTGGGTTAGTAACTGGCATATTAGTAACAATGTTATTAGTTATTAGTAACTACTGATGATATGGTATATTATTAGTAACGACGTTATTAGTTATTAGTAACTACTGATGATATGGTATCTTATTAGTAACAATGTTATTAGTTATTAGTAACTACTGATGATATGGTATATTATTAGTAACGATGTTATTAGTTATTAGTAACTACTGATGATATGGTATATTATTAGTAACGATGTTATGAGTTATTAGTAACTACTGATGATATGGTATCTTATTAGTAACAATGTTATTAGTTATTAGTAACTACTGATGATATGGTATATTATTAGTAACGATGTTATTAATTATTAGTAACTACTGATGATATGGTATATTATTAGTAACGATGCTATTAGTTATTAGTAACTACTGATGATATGGTATCTTATTAGTAACAATGTTATTAGTTATTAGTAACTACTGATGATATGGCATATTATAAATAACAATGTTATTAGTTATTAGTAACTACTGATGATATGGTATATTATTAGTAACGATGTTATTAGTTATTAGTAACTACTGATGATATGGTATCTTATTAGTAACAATGTTATTAGTTATTAGTAACTACTGATGATATGGCATATTATTAATAACAATGTTATTAGTTATTAGTAACTACTGATGATATGGTATACTATTAGTAACGATGTTATTAGTTATTAGTAACTACTGATGATATGGTATATTATTAGTAACGATGCTATTAGTTATTAGTAACTACTGATGATATGGTATATTATTAGTAACGATGTTGTTAGTTATTAGTAACTACTGATGATATGGTATCTTATTAGTAACAATGTTATTAGTTATTAGTAACTACTGATGATATGGCATATTTTTAATAACAATGTTATTAGTTATTAGTAACTACTGATGATATGGTATACTGTTAGTAACGATGTTATTAGTTATAAGTAACTACTGATGATATGGTATATTATTAGTAACAATGTTATTAGTTATTAGTAACTACTGATGATATGGTATATTATTAGTAACGATGTTGTTAGTTATTAGTAACTACTGATGATATGGTATATTATTGGTAACGATGTTCTTAGTTATTAGTAACTACTGATGATATGGCATATTATTAATAACAATGTTATTAATAATTAGTAATACTGATGATATGGTATATTATTAGTAACAATGTTATTAGTTACTAGTAACTACTGATGATATGGTATATTATTAGTAACAATGTTATTAGGTGTTATTAGTTACTAATAATATGGCTGGATACTAGTGTTATTAGTACCAATGTTATTAGTACCAATATCAGTGACATGACTGGGTATATTATTTGAACCGATGTTATTAGTTACTATTGATGATTGCCATTACTAATTGCAATCATTAGTTTACCAATTACTCAATGACTAATTCATTGGTAATACCAATGACTATCACAGTTCAACATTGGTATTATCAACTAGTACAAGTGGTAATACAATTGGTAATATCAATTGGTACTGTGAATGGATATTACCAATTGTACTAGTTGATAATTGATACTACATATATATATATATATAGAGTATTCAATTCATTATCATACTAGTAAAACTGATATTCAACTGAATGTCAACTATTGATATCGTAATGTATAATAGTTAATAATCAATCGATGATCTGACTGTTCTTGGATAAAGTATGATGATAACAACCAATAATGGGGTTTAACCAACAATAATGTGTTACAATGATTATGGATCATTCTGCAAACCACATTTTTTTTACCAGTAAATATCTCGGTTTCCCTGCAGGCTTTCCATTAAATCACTTTCGAGATACTATGAATTATTACCCAATCATATGAAGATTTTGTGATGGCAATAAGTACTATGACTATGACTATGACTGTTATTGGGTAAATTTTCAAAATAAGGCACCTTGTCTATCGAGTAAAATTGATAATGATATGACTATACAAAACCATTATAAATATGGGTTCAAGTATCACTATATATATAATAATATATCAATATACATATAATCAGATATATATATATATATAATTCTGATTATCATATATATACAAATATTATATATGATAAATGATGGAATCGCAACTGGGTTCAAGCCTTTGGCTGCTGCGCAGACTGAATCTGCCGAATCCAAGGGGCACATTTCCTCGGTTTGCGTCTCCTTCTCCTTGCCTTCAAGGACGCACTCCTGCTGGAAAATCGCCTTTAAGGATGGGGTTGAGTTGAATGGTAAAATTAGCTTGACATGGGTGATGTCCCTCTGGTAAACATACCAAAAAACTATGGAAAACCACAATTTTTTATGGGTAAATCAATTGGAGATGGATGATTAATAGATATTCATAGTGATATTAATAGTGATTCATAGTGATTAATGGGAACATCATCTATAACATCCATTGCCATGTTTGATTGGAGGGTCCCTACAATGTGAGACCCCCAAGGTAGCGTTCAGTTGGTTTATAACTCCAATAACTATGGTTTATGGTACTTATAACTATAGTTCCTGGGGCTTATAAACCAACTTATAACTGGGGGGCCCCACATTGTAGAAATCTTAGAAGGAAAGTCTCTGGTTGGTTCTTTTTGTGCTATCATATAGTAGATGGGAGCTGATGGGAGCCGCCACGGGTCTGGAAGCAGTGTATGATCCCCAATCCCGATAGGAACACCGTCTCTGCCCGGTGAAAGCCCAATCTTTCCCCTTGATTAGATTTTTTCCCCTAATGACATCCAATGGTTTTTGGAACGTTTTTGGATTATCCCCCCATCTTTCCCGATCAAATCCATATGTTCTTTGCTGATGGACTGATATAATCCATGAACTTAGTCTGTGTTTTCCATACCCTCTGGTAAACTAACATAGCCGTTGAAAATGGCTATAGAAATAGCTGATTTACACACTAAAAAAAGGTGATTTTCCATAGCAACCTGTTAGTTTTCCATATCCCTTTTTCCCTCATTTCATATCTCACTACCGGCGCAGATTTCCCTCTGATATCCCCCAAAAGGCTCCTGTTCTATGACCTCGCTTTCAGCCACCTGAGGCATCTGGACATGGGCTATTTGTTCTAGGAGGAAAAAAGAAACAACAAGGACACATTAGAGAAACATGAATTAAGTCTTATAGACGTATAGATTTGATGAGATTGTATCAAAAATGAGTGGACGAAAACTGACACTGAAGGGATTGATGATGGCATAATATAATCATTTAAAAACTGAACAGTGTTCTTTTGATTTCATTTTCCGTCCCAAAGTGGGTATGAGTCGAGCTATGACTAATCTTAATGTATTTTCCTCCATTAATGCTTCCCCAGTGATATTCCATTAAATTCCATGACATGTTCCCATTGTTGAATTATACCCTGGTGGTTAAACAAGTTTAAACATAAACAAACCCCATATTTTTTTCGCGTACTGTATATTGTGCATGTACCACACAGCAAAATAACCACATGTTGGTTGGTTCCATGTTGCTTCCACAACCCCATATTCCATTTTACATATGTTTTCCCATTACACAGAACCAAATGATCAACCGTGGCGATGAACAAAATCCCCATCGATGATTGTCCCCGCTTTATTGGCCATAGTGAATATTCCTTTGCCACGTTGAACTATCAGATGGTTAGAAAAAACCTGGCAGCTGATGCCATGGCAGCCTCCAAGTCCTCAACGTCCTGGTTCCAGAGCTCTTTCACCTCGCGGGTGTCGCGAAGATCGCGGATGTCGTTTCTCAGGGCGTGGAAATTCTTGAGCAGCTCAGCTGGGTCCTTGGGAAAGTCCAACAACTACCAACCAACGGAAACGATTGATTAATATGGACATTATATGGGTACATCATGGATTTATCATGGGATATCATGGGTTTAAGCGGATTCAATATGGATTGCTGTGGGTTTACATGTCACTTGTTTGGAAAATATATGTAGTTTGTTGTCGTCTATATATATTATAATTTTGTTTGTGGTTTGGGGGATCTTGAGCAAGGAAATGGCAAGGGTTGAGAACGGTGTTTAGCTAGCCTCCGACCTTTTGGCAGAAGCTGGGCACAAAATATCTGTCCTCGTGTTTGATGGATACATCCCACCAAGTTGGTCTTCCTGATGACATCCTGTTCAAATTCAAACTTTTGCCACACCCCAACTTTACCTCAGGTATGGAAGAATTAGGATTTCACGAATGTTTACCCCTATCATCAAATCATGTTTCCGCATGACTATGCCAACACCAAACATTCTTCTTGGTGAACTCATGTTCCTTGGTTATTGGTTAAACATTCGCTGCCTTCTGCTGCTTCATACAGGGTGCCAAACTTACTGCAATCAACATACTTTAAAGTAAGTTGGGTTTTCACCGGTGTATCCCTGTTCAATATTTAGTATACGTCATTGTTCATTCACTAATATGTCCGCGGCACTCCCATCATATCCCCCCAGTATATGCCCAGCAAAAATTGCCACAATTTATAGATTATGTTCATTGCTGGGCTGGGTATATAATGGGGATATGATGGGGATCATAGATTATGTTCATTGCTGCATGGGGAATGACTATAAATGAAGAGTGTCCAATCATAATCAATGGATATGAACTATGAAAATGATCTCTATGTATCATCAATTTCGTCGATTTTCCAGCTATCTTAACGATTCCAGCTTTTCGCCAAAGCTTCCGTTTCGGTGGCGCTCATGATGAGTTTCACTGCCTTGTCGCCGCTCTGCGACGGCGATAGATGGAGCAGCAGCTGGCGCTTGCAGCGCAAAATGCTTAAGGCGGCCAGCAGCAGGTGCCAGGGCTCGCGCCAACCTGGGAAAAGGGAGGGGGCCCAACCTATTTCTACGGGAAAACGATGGAAAATGACGGAACATGATGGGAAAATGATAGGAAAATGATAGGAAAATGAGGGGAAAATGATGGTAACATGATAGGACAATGAATAAACATGATGGGACAAGTTCGCCAAGTTGAGGGAAACTAAGATGAGTCAATAACCATTGCTTGGCGATGCTTGGCGGATATGAATTCTTCTGCTATCCAATTCTGTGTCAATTCTTCAGTTGAGATCAACTCTGTATAGTTGGGTGCTGGAACATCCTCGCTTTTGGCTGCCAAACACTCATCGGTGATTGGATTGCAACATTGGTTGCCAACCCTCAATTCATAAGCTCCTGGTTGGATTTAGTTTCCAGGGGCACCGCGGCTGTTGTGCTGCATGGGGACATTGATATTGTGTTGGCCTGGCCAACGCTTGACCCACCAGAAACATCCAAAACATCCCAAAACACACATACTGCATGGTAAACTGTAGTCTCACCCTAATACATGGTATGTATATATATATGTGATATGTGCATTAACATGAATCTAACTATTTATAGGCATACATAAAGATACAAGATTATATATATATATATATTATATATCTATATACATATAATCACAAAATCATACAATGTAATACCTATGTTTTTCATTGTAGGCTCCATCCTTGTGATGCAAGTTTGCACCCAAAGAGACTCATAGCTGCCGAGGCTCTGAGAATCAAATGATCCCAAAGCACCATGCCTGGCGAACGATCCAAGGAATTGTGGGTCCCCCAGCCGTTCTTGAACTGGTTACTACCAAGGTCAACCAAGGGTTCGCCAAGGGCTTCAGCCATTCAACAAATGTAGAAAACTCTTGGTGAAGCCCTTGGAATGTGATCCGCAGACGTCCACAGATCGTAAAGTCGACGGTGGATTTTCCCAAGTTCTGCTGGCGTGATTTTTGTTTGAAGGCTAAGTTGAAGCAATTTGGCATGATGAGCCACAGCTGCCATCCCATGTCAACCTAATTTGCATGGCACGCAGCTGAACACATTAAGAGCGCGCCCCCCCAATTCCCAATCATACAGCGCAAAATCTACGGTTCATTGACGATGTTCCACTTGAAACATATTGGTTTTCTATGTGTCCATGTTTTGATATGTTTGATTTCAAAAGGCTAAGCCACTTTACAACCTCTTGTTGCTTCAGGTCAAACATATGGCATCATATGGCCACATCCGGCCACCCCCAGGCCCGAAGTTGTGCCATGGCGCACACCGAGCGCGGCAAGCAGCGCAGCAAGAAAGACCGCAGCATGGGCCACAAAATGCGGCTGCCCAGCGTGGCACCGTCTGCCGGTGTTTGGTGCTTGACCTAAGTTGCCAGTTCGAGGCTTGGGTCACCATGGCTCGTCGTAACCCACAACAAGATAGAAAGGTGAAATCCGCCTAAAGTAGCAGTTGAGTGAGACAAAAATAGCGTCTTCAATGCATCTTCTATCTTTGGGTGATGGAGGTAATGACTGGACTTTCTGGAGTTGTATGCATTTGGTTAACACTCAGAAACAAGATTCATTGACTTAGAGGTTTTTCGATTCATTAGGTACACAAAAAGTGCGATGTTTGAATGCAAACATGAGCTAATTCCTCGAGCGGCAAGGGTCTAATATTTGATCTAAGAGAAGGATTCCATAGAATTAATTAGAATTCCCCGACACCTGAATCCAATGACCGGAACCCTGTCTGAAAAATAGCAACTTCCGTTCAAAAAACAGCAAGGACACGCTGCAATTTGTGCCCGGTTTGGACATATCCTCACATTTCTCTCGCGCAGTATTTCAAAGCAATATCCATCCCCAAAAAATTAATTTCCAACCATATACAAACCACAATGTTGAGTTTGACATTATCAATATGTTTAAATACCAAAGCCACCATGCTGGTGGAACAGCTTAAGGAGCACCATCTTGACCTGGTCACATCGGCGTGCAGCTCAGCTACGACAACTTCGAGGTAGATGCCTGGGAAGTTTTCGGAAAAGGCCTGGTCCTCTGGTAACGACGAACTGTTTGCGACATGGGAAATCATTATTTTTTTCACATATATTGAAGCAACTATGAATGGGCGTTTTATCTAAATGGTAAATGACCAAGGCTGCTGCTTTTCTCGCATGAAGGTCATGAAGGGCCCCCATGAGTTATGGTTGCGGGTTTATGACCCCACCCAACCAATAGCACAAATCAAAGTTAGCCAAGTCAGAATGATGTCATAATGCAACTTCCCTATCTAGAATCGGGTCCCGTCATCCGGTTATGAACAAAAATCAACATTTTCAGGGTCGTCTGAAAAATGAACTTAAGTTGTGGACCAACAAAACCGCTTGCATCCAACTGCTTCGCAATCCTGGCTCTTACGAGCATGAAACATCCAAAAGCACCTATGGGACGGGCTGCATTGCAGAACATGACCAGTGTTTCTGAATCTTGTGCGTAGAGTATAGGCTCTCCGTGGTGCGGCCCGATGGGGTGTGAGTTTTTTGTGTTAAGCAACTAGGGCCCATAGTTCGGATTGAATGGTTTGAATAGTATTGATCCTCTACATTATAATTATATACAATTATATACATATATGCAAGAATCGTGCTTTCATCAAATCATTCTCAGGTTTTCCAATCATTCGCATGCTTCAACGGTCGTGGAGTTCCCCAAAACTGAAGACTGGCAAATGCCGATGAAGGTTGACATCCAAACGCAATGAGATGTCGCTTTTTCCTGGGACTCCAATCCCATCCCATGGACCATGGTTTATCATAACTTGCCTGTGAAAGTTTACATGCTATAACAATTCCTAAAATGGCTAATCCTCCTATAGGTAATCTACAATAATCTACATATTAGGAATGTAGTCCCATTTTGATGATATGTTTGATTATGACGACCTACGTTTTTAATTAAATTTGATGATTGAATCATGTTGAATTCCAATCTCTGATGCATTGGTTAAACCATGATAAACCAAAATTGTTGATGATTCAATGCCTAGTTTTGGATGGCGAAGTTGCGCCCAGGTGCTGAGTTCCAAATCCCTCTGCCGAAGCTGTTGCTCCGCCCAACTCAGCAGCTTTCTTCGACGCGTCGCTGCCCTGGAGGACAAACATGAAAAAGACCCACGTCGAGAACGGTGACGTTCCAACATTAAAATAAGGAGGAAGCCCCAACAAACATGATGAACATGAGAATTTAATAGGATACATAGGACATGTAGACTTATAGTTGCTTTTCTGATAGCTAAGTTGGTTTATGAGGTCTATTAAGATCTTTCCGCGAACATTGCACTGCTGGGTTTATGGCATATATCTCGACCATCGGGTTTTCATAACAGACCTGGGGTGCGCCACCTTGTATCTATTCCTAGGCCTGTTCTTAGTTCACAAAAAGAATGCGGGGCATATCCTTGGACCTGCCAAATCGCAGAGAAACTCATAGAGGCTCATCCAGAAACTCAGCTGCCCAACATCCACCCCTTGAGCTGATACGGTTGGTGTTGTCACTGTTACCCTCCAGGACTCCTCACCGTTTCTGCTCTGGCTGAAAGTCATTCCACGGAATGTCTTCCAGGCTTCATATGCAGCGGACTGCTTGGCCAATTTGATCTTGCTCTGTGGCAAGCCTTGCCAAACACGCTGCTCGATTTGAATTTCAATTCGAAATGGGGCCGTAGCACTAATGGTTCTATACTGCGCCACGCTTTGCCCCGACCGTGGCCGGCGCGTCACTTGCAGGTGCTTGTTCACCATTGAGACGTAGTCACTGTCCTGATTGACGTTTAACCCGCCATCAAAAATCACGTTCATGTTTTTTCGATCAAGATCTCAACATCATCGGACATCATCGGAATCATCGAAAATCAATAGGAAAAAAGGAAAAATATGATAGGAAAAAAGGAAAAATATGAAAACAGCATGAATTCAAACCACCGACCAGTTTCGGGGTCGAAAGTTCTGCCGTCGCAGAGTCGGGCAAATTTCAACGGACGCTCAGGAGGAATTTCATTCTGCATAAGGGATTTTCAAAGCTGACCTTTTGGCTATGAACAAGTGTAGTATCTGTACACTACATGACATGCAGACATACCTGCGGTAGGTCGACAACAACTTTCCTGCCGTAGGCTTCTTTTAGCCCAAGAAAAACAGGTGCTCACGCTGCTCCGCAAGCAGGTTATGAGCCCAAGCCGTGCCTCTCGTCGCTGAAACATGGCGCATCGACGAGGTAGAAGTGTTCCAGGACACCGAGAAGGGCGTCTTCACTTGAATGAAGGTGAGCCGGTGAACCCTTTTTGGTCCCAAGGAGTACAAGAGGCAGCGATGGTGGACAGGCTGAGACCAGCCAACCTACCGCCAGTCCGGGTAACTCCAGATAGCCTACCTCCAGTACCTGCTGATGAATGGGATGGAGATGAAACACCAAGACCGGTGCAGGGGCTTTCTCGAGCGATGGGCAGTGGTGGGGGACTGCTGAGAAGTCAAGGCCGAATGCCAGCTGTGGCATTTGAGACACCTAGCAGCTGGGAGCCTCACACTCCAGGACCACAGGGCACTCAGGTGTTCAGGATGGAGGAAGAAGCTTCGAACTTCAATCTCTTTGACTTTGATGAGGACCTGGCGCAGCAACCTCATGTGCAGGAATTCCTCAAGTAGATCTTCTTGGCCCTCTTGGTGGTGAAGGACATCGAGGGAAAGGTCAAGGGGGAAACGATCATGGAGAACGACAAGGTGATAGACTTCGTTCTCAAGGACCTCTACGGCAAGATCGAGAAGGAAGGGAAAGGGAACCTCCTGAACAAAGGCAACGTTCTCTGGATCTTCTGGGTGATGTTCTAAGAGGTTCACATGGTGATGTCTCAGCTCTGCAACGTGGAAGGGCCCAAAGTCCAAAAGATCCGCAACGTGGAGGAAGTCGTCATGGAAACGATCGAGACTCACGTGGACTTTCTGGAGACCGTCATCGGAACGATCAAAGTAGGTCTAGAGGTGAAGATCGTGCCAAAGATCATCTGCAAGGAAAAGAACTCCGTGCGGAACCCAAGAAAATCCAACCGAAAGACCAGACAGGTTCAACGTTGGAGCAAGATTTGAGTTCGTTGTTGGTGCAGCAGTTGATGCAAGAAAATGAGGAGCTTCGCAAAAGGTTGGATGCGATGGACAAGAACCAGCCTTCTTCTCATGGACAACAAGGTCAACATACTCAACAAGATCAACAACGTGATGAATTGGATACTTCAAGTTGGGAATCGATTCCTTCAAGGGCGACTCCAACAACACCTACAAACCGCCAGACCAAAGATGTGGCCAAAGTCACTCCTGGTGGAACCCAACTTCCAGATGGACCCCCGCCCATTGACAAGGTGGAGAAGGATCCTATGCGGCCGCCATTGCCTCCGGTGCCACCAATGCTTTTTGGGGGATATGAGGAGCACAATGAAGCGGGGGTGAACAAGTGGCTTGGACCTCAAGCAGTACGTGTTGGTGTTCAACAAGGTGATGGAGAGGTACATGGCTTCTGGAACAGCAGAAGAGGAGGAATCCAACAAGTACCTGATCCCGAAGCGGAAAGGGTTCAACGACTTGAGCAAGAACTCAGGGAACTTCGCGAAGCTTTGACTATGCGACGGATTCCTGGTCAAGAACCTTTGGGTGCATATGGATCTCAACCATTTCAAAGAGTGGGACCTCCAAGTGCTGATCCGTTGGGAGTTCAATGGCATCTTCGTCAAGCTTGCAATGACGTCAACATGCGCGACTGGATCCAGGTGAACAGTGGGAATCCATATCTTCATCAACAAGAACCTTCCATAGCTGGAAACCAACTTGGATATCAAGGAGGCCAGTCTGGGAATCTTGGTCAAGGTGGAGGTCAACACCAAGGAGGTGGAATTGGTGACCCAAGAAGTTCCTTGGGTGGTGGAGTTCAAGATGATCGGCCTCGTGAGGAAGAGCTCAAGCCGGTAACCATCACTCTGCCGAAACTCCCGGAATTGGGGGGAAAAAATCAAGGTCTTGAAGCAGGTGACTGGATGGCCCAAATCCGTCCACAAATTGCTGATGTCAGTCACCGTGCAATGTGGTGGTGGGATACTTTGGTGACCATGACCACTCAACGTTATCAACAATGGTTGGGAAGTGACCCCATCACTCGACTCAATGTGCAACCTCCCACGGTTGAGGAATTGCCACAAGGCTTTACGAGGTTGGAGCAGAGGGTGACGTCTTTGCTCATGCAGGCTCTTCCAAAGACACTGGCTGCTGAGATGATTGCAAATCGCCAGCTTGGGGCTGCTCAGATCATCTTCAAGGTGATGAAGGTCTACCAACCAGGGGGCTTGGGTGAACGACAAAACACTTTGCAAGCTCTCACAACAACTCAACCTGCTGGAACGTACCTGGAAGCTTCCACGTCTTTGAGAATGTGGCAACGGCATCACTCACGAGCTGAAGAGCTGGGTGCAACAGTTCCAGACCCTACATTGATGGTAGGTGCGCTTGACAAGATCATGTCAAAGTTGCTACAGGGGAATCCTCAGGCGAACTTCCGCCTCAGTGCTTTTCGAATGGGGGCACAAGTTGACACAAAACCCACAGCTGCCACGGTCAAGCAACTTCATCAGATGCTTCTTGCAGAAGTTGAACTTGCCATGGGTAGTCAAGAAACGCATGGAAAAGGTCAAGGAAGCCCTGCAGTGAAAACCCTGAAGGATAACAAAGCTGGTAGTCCAGCACAACCTGTATGCCGCTTCTGGAAGTCAGATCAAGGATGTCGACAAGGAGCACAATGCAAGTTCCAACATCCAGCGCATGAAGATGGCAAATACCACTGCTACACTTGTGGCGCAACGAACCACAAGAAACCGGATTGCCCCTACAACTCTCCGACCAAGGAGGACAAGAGCAACACTACGACTGGAGCTTCAAAAGGTTCTCCAGCCGGGGGGAGTGGTGCCGGTGGTGGTGATGGAAAAAGCTCTGGAAAACAGGGTGGAAAAAGCAATGGCTACAAGGGCAAAAGTGGCAAAGCCAACAGAGATGACCAGAAGGGCAACTCAGCAGGATCCAAAGATGATCAAAAGAATGTGAAGAAAGTTGAAACTGATGGAGGAAAAGAAGTACCAGCTGACTCAAAAGGAACATCAGGTGCTGGTACGGGGGAGACTTCGACTTTGGTGACTGAGGTATCATCGTTGATAAAGACTCTTAAAACCCCGGAATCCTCCTCAACAGCATATCGCCATGTCAAGACGGTGAACCTCCGGAAGATTGACATGGGCAAGAATCAAAGGGTTTTGATCGATGGTGGGGCCACTCACGTTTTGAGAAAGGCCAAATCTCGAGAAGAATGGGATCTTGGAGAACCAGTTCAAGTCGCTTTGGCGTCAGGAACCGCAGAACTGAAACAAGATGCGGTGACAGGGTCTTTGTTGACACTCCACGACGTCCAGATGATCATACCTATGGCAGCATTGACAAGGCTGGGCTATGAGGTGAAGTGGACAGGCTTTGGCTGTAAGATCAACTCACCAGATGGAGCTCAACTACCAGTGCGGCTCGATCAGGGGTGTCCAACGTTGCCTCGGCGAGAAGGGGTAGACATCCTTCAACAGGTCGAAGATCATCAACGACGTGAGACACAGATGAAACTGGCAGCCATCAGACCAAACTTGGAATTGCCAAAAGCGTGTCCAGAAGTGGAGATAGTCAAGAGACTTAAGTCAATTTTTCCTGAGGTGCCTGCAGATCTGGCAAAGGAAATTCCAGGTTTTGCTGAGGTCGACATGAACCAAGTGGTCTTCAACAGACATCATCGACGAAAAGTTCAACGTGCAAAAACCTTGGTGGTGCATCTCTTTTCAGGAGATGATCCAAAGTTCTGGATGGCACAGGAGAAGAATGGTGTTGTCATCATCTGCATTGAGCTGGCGAAGGGGGCTGACCTTCGAAATGGCCATTTGTATGGGTGGCTGGAACAACTGGCGAGGAGCGGCAGGATCGATGTTCTTCTTGCTGGACCACCATGCAGGTCTGTGAGCGTTTGCCGACTTCGATCTCTTGAAGGTGATGATGGACCACAGATTGTCCGAGCAAGGCATGGC